GTAAACTGAGCGTAATGAATTGGACATAGAGTTCTCCATGTCATCAGGTTCCTGTAATGATTTGACCATTTTTGACGATGTTTTGCCTCTACAACAGTGGTTCTTAATCTTTGTGAGCCTGCCGAACCCCTGCGCTATTCTGCAAGCTCCCACCGAACCCCATTGTACTGAACGGTTGAAATTAGAAGCCAAACCGTAACGTCATAAAGCGGAAGCTAATTCTTGCAAGGTTATAGAATATGAACATTGTGATGAAACCTTAGATATCAATAACCATGTGAGAATAACCATTGTTTTGTCACAATGGCGTTGGCGGCAGAATGAGCAGATAGTTTTTGTTGTATAAGTTATGCGGGTGAACAGGCGAAAACTGATAAAAAATAACTTTGAAAATCCGAAAGATGATAATATACCCCATAAACGTTGGTAGTTCAAGCAATTTGTTCTCAAACTTTAAACTGCGCTGAAATGCGAATAAAATCGTTTGCCAATTGTTTTATTTTACAGAAATAGAGATAGGATTAATTCGGCGCCATATCGAGGTTGTCCTGAATGGATCATAATAATTTCGGGTAAAGCTCTGCGATAAACTATTCCTTGTCGCAAATTTATCACCTAGTGAAATTCAAACACGCTATGATTTTGCATTCATTCATGTACAATTACTGCCTATCTTCAATTTATCCGTAAAATTGAGTTAAATTTTATTAGTACGGTAGAATATGAATAAGGGTAACACCAATTAATTGTTCCATTCAATTGTTCAAGTCATTAGTAATTAGTCATCATGAACTATAGTTATTTTTGCATAATTAGTATGCAGGGTGATAAAAAAGTCTCATAATATGCAACTGTTTCAGAGCACCTTCGTCGAACCCCTGGAACAGCTCCACCGAACCCCGGGGGTTCGATCGAACCCAGTTTAAGAACCACTGCTCTACAAACTGATTCAAAATGATGTAGTTTCAAGCAGTGGTAGTAAGTCTGATTGAAAGCAGGACAGGAACGTTATTTGATTCTCAGTGGAGAACTTTTGCCGTGTCCTGTTTCTCCACAGTAAGTACATGTGGCTTGCATCTTATCGGATGTGGGCTTGACTTGAATGCGCCCCTTTCAATATAAGCTGATGGCGTCTGTGGACTGGGAATCTGTCGCTTGGCAGACTGTCGCTTGGCCACAAATGCGGGCGCCAAAGTTTCTTACTGGTTCGTCTCTGTCTTGTTTCATGTTGGCGAGCTTGACTCTGGCGATCATGGCATTTTTCTTTGATAGCGTTCAGTATGTCTTGTTCTGATTTTCCTGTAAGATTAGGTGAGGTGCGAGTTAGATCTTTGCGCAGTGGATCCTCACAGCATTCCAATAGTTGAAAAAATTATGTCTTGGCCAAATATTTTTGTGGCAGCTTTGTAGTCTGTCCATCTTGATTCAAAAATATGTCCATTCTTCAGTTGAGCTAGCAGATGTGATGGTTGGACGGTTTACTTTCTCAACTTGGGTTGTGGGTTGTTGAGTTTTTTGTGCGCTGTGTGTGGTAGCGTGTAAATTCAGCAATGCAGCAACAATAGAGGCCTCATCCTCTGTTTCAAATTCACATTCGTTGATTGGGCATCTGATCTTTGGCATCTTGATGTCACAAGGTATCCCACATAGGGTAAATCATAGATAATTATATATCACTATTTGTTTATTAGGTCATCAGTAAATAATAATTTACCCACTATATGAAAAGAAAGTATATGGTGAATAACGAATACCAATAAATATATAAACATAAAGAAATGCACAATGCTACTGATAATCTACTAATAACTTTGTCATTTTTTAGCTCTCATTCTAAAAATAGGTTGGCTCTGGTTTTACTGGTATATATAATTGTGATGGATCATGGCTAAGGCAAAGTGCTAAATTTGTTTTCGATTGATATTCATGCTAAAATTTAAAACAAAATGATATTTTGTAATGTGGTTTAATATTTTGATAAAATTATATTTAAGCAGGATAAAAAAAACGCCGCTCCCGAAGTATGTGCACCAAGATGGCGCACAACCTGAACCATAACCTGGTACAAATACTATGTTCAGGATGTGCGCTATCTTGGTGCATATACTTCTGGAGCTCTGAAAAAAAACGGAGGTTGGCAACAGCAAGCGGATGTACTTGATGAATATCCAGCTTGTCAAGTTGAAAATATTACGACAAATTGACATGTAAAAATAGGAATGATTTAAAACAGAGGAATAAGACTCGAAAGCATGAAAATGTTTTGTGAAACCGTACGTATATGCATAAGCTGCCGGGAGACCATTATGAACGTAGAGGATAAGAGCATGTATATATACTGGAATGAATTTTCTCGAATCATTGACTATACTCTATCGACCGTAAAGAAGATTTCGAATTTTCAAAACTATTAGTATATTTTGCAATAGAAATGTGAATAAAAAGAGAAGTGAGAATCTGTGAATGGCTTGTGTGTAAATCTTGCCAATCCTTCTGACCATTACTTTTTACCGACGGCGTCTATATTAAGAAACGTATAGCAGTCACATCGCATGAACTAAACTGACAACACAATCTTGTCCCAAGCCAAGCTAATTCGTGGCGAGTTCGCCTTACGTAATATCAATACTTTTCGAAATTCTCAAAATACCCAAATCAAAACCTAATTAACAATAAATTTGGTCATAGTAATTATATTTAACGTATTTTTTAGCATTTTTTTTTTATGAATGGCTAAATTGTCAAATAGTGATATTATCTTACAGGTTACGAGTTAGTCATTATTTTCATTCATATACGGGTGTGATAAAATATATTTAGATAATTATAAAACAACGTAATCAGCGTTATTTTTTAAAATACAATATTCTGAATAATAGCAAACATCGAGGACTGTTGATGAAATTAGTATATATATATATATATATATATAGATATGTAACTAACATTGATAAATAATAGTTGGTTAGATCAGGGGTCACCAAACTACGGCCCGCGGGCCGGATCCGGCCCGCGACGTCATTTTATCCGGCCCGCAATAACACGCAAATATGGCTAAATTTTTTTCAAAGGGAGATTTTCCCGATCATCGTCTTCCTTGTTTCGTAACATTGGCCGATCAGCAAGTTGCAAAACAAGTGACGTAATAATAGGCCTTTTCGCATCCGCTCAGACACTTTGTCACCTTGACAGATTTTCAGTCGTGGTTGTAAACAATATTTCGTTTTTGCGACTTTGAATGCTATTCGATAGTTTTTGGTTGCGTATCGGAAATTTAAGTATGAATCAATTAAGTCAATTATCATTTGCCTCCTTAGGAGTTGTAGTTTTAATAGTAGTAATGAAAAATTAGTCTAAAAATATAGCAGTGACAAAATAGGCTAAATTCTTTACCGGTACGCAACGTTTTCTGCGAAAGATGTACTTGTACACTCGTGGCGCGTGCTTTCTACGAAACAGTTCACGTTTTTTGTGCTAAAATAAACGTCCAATGTGCATTTTGCGCTAGCAGTACTGTAATTCCTTGCGTACTGCTCCAATTTCACAAGTCACACTAACTTTTGTCTAAATGCGGATATTCATGTAGGTATGTTTCCAAAAAATTGTTCATCCGATTTAAATAAAAACTGCGCCAGTGGATAGATCTGAGTGAAAATAGAAAACAATACCAAGTTTATAAAAAACGGTCAAGAAATAACGGAGATTTCGGAATTTTTGTACCGCCCGACAGGCCACTTTTTTCCATAATAATTGTAATATTTTTTTGGTAAGAACTCTAATAAATATGAAAAAGAACACATATCAATCACTAATCTTTCCATGTCCGTCCCATATATGATTGAGACTATTTCAGGATTTTATTTTGGCAAGGGTCATTGACACCGCCGAAAGATCGTCTCAAATAAACGCTAAAGTTGTGCATGATCGTTTGACAGTGGTTCATTATGGGTAATAATCAACGATGCTCTGATTGTACAAACTTCCTAAAAATTGGTAAGTATCAAGTCAGGAAAGAAATACATACGTCCATATAAATTTATTGGTGTCCATAGAAAATATCATTAATTTGCACTACGTATAACTGGAATTCTTTTTCATGTTGTTATTGTTGTTTTAATTACTAGAACAATTGCTTCGCCATTTCAGTAGATAATGAACCGTATACTCCCAAAGATACTTCTTGTGGGCGCGGTGTTACAATTTGCTTATTCTAGCCCCACCTTGCCACGTCATCTAAAAATTATGTCACTGCGACGTCACAATCATACTTCAATTTGAGAAAGATAGCTTGCATTCAGTGAGTTCGTTGTCGAAGGCGCAATTACAGGCGATCGTCGGTATACTATCATTAATTTTCACTACGTATAACTGGAGCGTAATTTTTAAAAGCGGCGAATGCTAGGAAATTTAGGCGCTGATGAAAAACATCAAATCCAGATAATAGTTGTTTATTTTATCTAAATTATGTCAAAATTTCATGAAACTCCAAGCTACAGCAGGCAGTCCGTAGTCGTTTTTATGAGCGGTATTCCAACACGGCGTAACTAAGAAAACGTGATGCGTACATTTTTGGCGCAAAAAAGCGGATCTTGTAACATTCATAATTCACGACAGCAACGTTTTGATAACAGCTAAACTCAGGATAGTTGTCTAGATATAGAAATCTTGTGTATATATTTGTTTACCTGGGATGTTCTCGATCTATATTCTGCGATATAGATAGAATTTAATATTCAAGTCTTCAATGTAGAATATATATTATTGTTGAATAAATTGAATGGATTTCCCAACTTTTGTAAATTTATTGTATTGCATTGACAAAAATATTCATCCGGCCCGTTTCAACACAGTTTGAGTCATACCCGGCCCGCGGTCCAAAAAGTTTGGTGACCCCTGGGTTAGATCAAATAATGACTTCAGTCAGTTTCTGGACATGTTGAAGGAGAAAATTTTGCAGATATTGCGACATCATGCAAGACGTTAATGAAGGCTGCAACCTGTCACAAAGTTGGATTTGGATTTGGAAAAAATCCACGAATCACCTGATGATCTGAACAAAGTAAAGCACACAAGTTTTTTCGATAAGATTCTGATATCACCAGACCTTGCATATATATACAGCTAAGGCAAAACGAGACTGCTGTTCATGTCCACAATGGGTAGAGAACAAACGTTTGAACTCAATGGAAGGAGTATTTATATTCCGGTATTTGTACTAGTTCATGATGCAACAACAAATACTTCGACTTGGTAATTTAATTTACAATATCTTCCAGTACATAAAAAGTTTGATATAAGTTTTCATACCTTTGTCGAGTGGACATAACAAAGCCGCAAAATAATTTTCATAGTCAGAAAGAAAAACTATAGCTGCATTGTCTAAAAGGTTGTCTGATTAAAACAAATAAAATTAAATGAGTTTAACTGCAGACCAACACAAGAATAATAATTTATCTATATATCGAATATTATATTATATATGTACATGTATTAGTAATTTTACCCATATTTGACACCGCTTCATTCGCAAGTCCGTTCATTTCCTCTCCGTGCTCGAGGTGAATAAATTCTGCAAACGTTCAATTTGTGTCAAAAAATTAACAAATGTTTTAAATTAGAAGGAAAATAATAAAAGAGTTTATTAGTACTTTTCATTGTTATGCTAATCAATAACTTTCCACGACGTTTTGAAAGCATTCAATTGGGATACATTTTGTGTACACAACATACCATCGTCTGATTTCCTAATATGATAAGTTCCATCTCCTTCATAGTCAACATGAAATTCAAATTCAACATATCTGGCAAATAAAACGGTGTTACAAAAATTGTCCTTCTATGCAACCTGTTATCTAATTTTATAATTGTGTTTTCGAGAATTTATTGGAAAGCATTATTAATTAGTATGCTATCAGATCCGAGGAAATAGACTCGTAACTCTTGGACGAGTTCTCAGGTAGATTTGGTAATTTAAACAACATATGAAAATGTAGAAGAATCACTATAGGTAAATAATTTATTTTTAATTTTAGCTATTTTCAACAATATTTTACTTATTGTAACACATTTATACTCTGTAGATTTTGCTTTTTGTTTTCATATATTTACCTGGACCCATTTTCCTTTGAAACAGCTTGGAATCCAGTTTCTGTAGACGTGATATTAGTGAATCAGGCACAAGAGACTTTAGACGTTGTTTCATCAGTCCAGAATACCACGTAGTTTTTGATAACTACAAAATGGGAAAAACCTAAATTACGGTGTTTCCCCGAAAATAAGTCCTATAGCCCGAAAAGAGGACCTAGCCCAAATTTAAAAATGATTTTAATCCAAGTCCTACCCCTTAAAATAAGATCTAGCCGATAAGGTGAAATTTGTTTTGACCTAATCGAAGGCAAGAAATCTCTCTTACACGTTTCAAATGGTTAAACTAAAACGCGTGAGAAAGGAAAAGTTTCAATGAGTAAAATCTTCATTGGAATTTATGAATCTAGTGACTGGCATGACATTCCAGAGGATGATGATATGGTCAATTTTGAATAATGGCAGTTTTTTGTTTAATAAAAACGTGTTATTTTTAAGTAATGGATATCGGGTTTCATATTTTGTATATTTGAAAATCTCGTAATTTTCTACTTCGTAATTTTGTTTTTGATAAATGGCATCCTCCATATAAGCCCTAGTGTTATTTTTTTGAAAGAAAATTAAAATAAGACCCTGTCTTATATTTGGGAAACACGGTGTATGTTAGCATTGGTTGATTAGAATTTAATACTAGTTACACAAAAATGGTTTTGACTAATAACGGATTGAAGTAATTACTTTAATATTAACTTAAAGAGTCATGTTTTTCATTAAAATCAGCAAAACAAGTGGGTTCAACACACTTCTATAATTTAGTCTCAATTTGAGTTGTTATCTTCATCTCCACCGTACCTTTCCAGCATCGATTTCCATGCCCTCTGAAATACAGCTTTTCTGTAACTGACTTGCATTTGTTATCAGTGCAATTGATGACAATAGTAAGAGTAATTCAACAATTGAAATCATGCTCATTATGACCATAAACGCTTCGTGATTTTTCTAATTTACCTGTAACAAATAGGAAAACGTGTTGTTCGTATATGGGTTTGCTTTGTATAAAAGTTCATCTGTATTATATGTATCAAACAAAGGTTCCTTAAAACGCCTTATTCAAAACATCTCAACTATATTATCAAAAATTAGAAGTTTATTTCAATGAAACAACCAAAAATAGAATGAACTGTTGTTCACATAGCTGCAATGTGAATGCTGCTATAGTCTATATTCCTTTTTCATTTTATAGTTCTTGAGTAGAATCTTACTCATTGTTTTGTTCTATCCTTCTATGTTTACTTTACGTCAAAATGAACTGTTTATAATTTGGGTGAAGATTCTCTGAGTCAGAGGACGCACAGGATACACGCAAAAAATCAATTCATGTTGTGACGATACAAATCTGTGGCAGTTCCACATAAAATATCCTGATTCAGTAACATTTGAATGAACTAGTTTGAATGAAATATATTTTATTCGCATTGCTCAAATTTTTTGTATATATATATATATATATAAGTATATTGTTTGCATTTAATCAAGTACATGGTTATATTATATTCATATAATGTGTTTTATTCTGTTACTATTCAAATTGTTGCTTAGACATTTTTATGGTTGGCATATTTTGTTATTACAAATAGAATCCTGTAATAAAATATATAATTAATTCCATGAGGATTCCCCGAGCCTCCAAAATACTCCATTGGGGTTCTGCTCCGCCATAAAGGTCAAAAATATAGCCCTGGAATTTGGAAGACGCGGTGATTATTCCTATCTTGCTTTGTTTACAAATAAAAGTAATCAACTACGTCATACATTGTCCTGCGCCTACAGTGCGTCGCCGAAGAATCAGTCGTACTGATTTTGTGTAGTTATGTTTTACTTGGTTGCAGCTGGGTGCGTTTGTTTTGAGAGATTCGTTTGTTGCACATTGCGTTCGACTCTTATTTTGTCATTTCGTTAGTTGTTATAATCTGTTGAAATGGAAAAAGGGATCTATTGGTAAGTAAGTACCTGTTGGATTCAGATTTATGGCAATCATGCCTCAAACTGTGATACCGTTGACTGTGTAAATATATATATTTTTAAAAATATCCAACCATCGTTTTTAAAATGAGGTTGGTGCCAATGCGTAATCGTTCACTTCGAAATTGCTGGAGAAACATAGAAATATCCGAAAAAGATATCGATAAATATTGAAATAATTTTTTAATACAAGATGGTAACAAGTGCTGCGACTTATTGTTAATAGCATTTAAACTCACGGTCGTATAATTTCATATTTATTAAGATCGCGTCAGTATGCATATTTTGGTGCTCCAGAATATAGTAACTAAAATAAAGCAAATGGAATATTATGAATGGAATAAATGGAATATTACAAATGGAATAATATAAATTATTGCCTAACTCTAACCAGGTACACACACTACGAGAGTACGCACATCTGTACATACTACGCTTACCTCCTAAGGATGTATATATTTAAAACAATGTTTTAACTTCGTATTTTACATTTAGTTTGTTTCTATACCTCGTTCTTCTCTGCCCTTGCATTGGTGAAAGTAAGTGCTTTTACTATAATATTTTCGACCAATAAATTTATTTCTCTTGTTTTTGAAAAAGGTGATGCTCTAATCAAATGCCTGGACAAGTTACTTTTGAATATGGCGTTTTTCATATTGATTTTAATTTCAGAACCATCCCCGGAAGCAGAAATTTCTGAAGATAGCAAGAACCTGTCTGGCAGATCCGCACAAATATTTGTAGATCCGTGTGTCTTGAATCCCTGCAAACATGGCGGTACTTGTAAAACTCGAACGAGGTATGTTTCTTCATTTTGTTGTATGGAAGCTTCTCATTTGATAAAATAGATTGTATATGGCTTCAATAATTATCTTTTAGTAATAACCTAATAGCTGTTTTGCTCGTATGAATACGTATATATAATAATGGACAAAGAAATATATAATATCAGAACTGACAATTGCTTTTTATTCTTCTTTCGTTCCCTTAGTTACACATGCAATTGTCCGTTTGGGTACAGTGGACTCAACTGTGGTTTTGGGACGGCTACATCGTCATTCTGCTTTCCTGATCCTTGCTTGAATGGAGGTACATGTAGCTTCCAAACTAATGGATACAAATGCTCTTGCCCTGGGACTTTTCGTGGAATTAGATGTGGTGAGTCATTAGAATTGCAAAAAATAATCCTATAACGGACCAGCCACGCATCATTCGAACAGTTTGTGGCGAAGAAGTGGGTATGAAGGATCAATTTTTTTATGCAATAGAAATCGAAAATGTTGAGAATACAAAATGAGCAAATATTAGGGAATTGTTCCTGTCGAAAGCTGTAGGATCAACCCGTCAAAATCTAGGATGCATAATATGAAATAAAACTTTTATTTATATTTCAACAAAAACAATTAAATCTGAATTTCAGTTTGAAGTTGTTGAATGTTAAGCATAGATTTTAGTTATTTAGCGAAATATTTATCGTCTTTCAATGAAAATATCCGATTTGGACAGAAATTCCAGTAAGGACCATCCTTGTCAGACGAATCCATGTCTTAACAATGGAATATGTTCACCAGCAAGAAATGTCATTGGCAACGCCTATTTTTGCATTTGTCCCCAGGGTTACTCCGGGCGTAGATGTGGTGAGTTCTTTTTGTTCTCTTAATGAAAAGTAGATTCAAGATATAAAGTCATATAGGCTAATGCATTCTTGAATTGTCAAAGTAATCGTTGGGTAATTGTTAACTGGAACAGAACTTGCAAATTCTTATGAAACTATAGAAGATAATTCAGTTGAGATCATTTTGATGTAAACACGATTTTGAATACAGTGCCAGATAAATCAGGAAGACGACTAAACTTCATGTCGGCTGTATGTAGTGATAGGATTTCGTATTTTTTAACCGGTCCTTTTTGGTATGAACTCACAACAGGATTCCTCATTTATGATAACCACGTCGAACTTATAGGTCTGTAACAATGAATAATGTAACATGACAAGAACGACCTAAATGTCATTTTTACTATCAGGCCACTACGTAAGCTTCACCGACATGACACGCTTTAAATTTATTTTGTAAATTTCGAAACGCCAAATGTAACGCGTCGTCATCTGCGACACGCGTTTCATTTGCTGTGATCGTCTAGCCCAGGGGTGGGCACGGTTTTTGAACCAGGGGCCAAAAATTTGGCCTACCTCATGTAAGTGTGACGTGAAAAGTTATATTTTACGAAAAATATTTTGGACCTCCTGAAGTATGCGCACCATGATGGCGCACAACCTGAACTCAGGTGGTGTTCCGGGTTGGGGTTCAGGTTATGCGACATCTTGATGCGCATACTTCAGGAGTACCAATATTTTTAGTGTTACAAAAGCCAAAGTGAAAACCAACGAGCCTCGTAATAAAACCAAATTTAATTGCAAACTCAACAAATTCATTGGGGTATTTCATAGCCTAACATCAGAGTTTGGTTTTAACTTCATTGTGGTGGCATCAGACGGACCAGACGGACCAGATTGAATTACTCAACAGGCCGGATTTGGATTGGCCAGATTTGTAACACTGTGAATATTTTTCGTAAAGTGTAACTTTTACGTCACACTTACATGGCCGGCCAGTTTGGGTGGGCAAATTTTTTGGCCCATGGCCCAAACACTGTGCCCACCCCTGCGCTAGACAATTGCAGCAAATGAACGCCAGACTCTAGCGTCTACTCCAAAGCAAAAACCAGAGCGTGTTCGATGATTTGACGCATGACATTCTAAGGGTGGATTTACTTAGCCCGCACGAATCCCCTGAATCTACCAATAATTTTACTTATCCAAAATTTGTTCATTAGCATTTCCATGAATATCTTAATTGATTAAATTTACAATATATACCAGAATTGTTTCGCAGTGTGAATTAGCTTTACTTCCAATTTAGTTTGTTCTTCTCGGCATTTGCAGAAACTTTCACTCACGTTGTGATCCCGCAGTATCCCGAGGTTTGTAATCCGAATCCGTGCAAAGGTGATTGTCAATGCACGAAGTCGTGTCGCCATTCTTCTGGATATTACTGTAGAAGCCCGACTGGATTCCTAGGGAAAGACTGTACTATTCGTGAGTATTGTCTATTTTTATGCTATATGAGAATTATGTTCAGATGTATTTCGACAACGATGAATCAACAATCGCTCTGCCTGGTTTACCCCGATTAACTTTTGGATATATTTCATGGAAAAGTATTACAAGTTTGTTTGCATTATATTGTCAGCACCACCTACCCTGATGTGTGAGCCGAATAGGATCATAGTGATTGTTGAAGATGCTTTTATACGTGAATATGAGCAAGGTATTGAAAATACCAAACTTGCAATTTCTCAAACCGCGGATGGAATTGCCACAGCTTCACGAGATTGCTCGGGTTCATGTGAGTATGAATGCCTATTTTTTTTTACAAATGAAAATCGTTTGCCTATCTCGATAATGAATGGTTTACATTGGTATCTGACATAGTTTTACAGTTTCCTTTAAACAAGGCTCAGCACAAGCGCTTTTAAGAACGATGGGTTAGAGTAAGTCAGCATAGCTTATGTTCTGCGAAATTCACCACCGCGCCCTGTAAAACTTTGTCATTTCCCACCAATGTACCTCGCCTGTTTTCCACTAGTTCACTCTAAAGCTACAGCTTCTGTGTTAACGTAATGTGTATTTAAAACGCTTCTGAACTAAACTTTACTGCTGTTAACGAATTCAATGCATTATGATTATTCGCCTTTTGGACTTTCTTGTCGTACTTGACCACTTGTGACCAACAGAAAAACTTAAATTCTGATTCGATAACCTTACTAACAGATTCATTTGAATAAAGAGGTGAATTTCTGACAAAAATTTAACAACTGGCGCGGATAAATTACTGACATAGATTTTAACATCTGATAAGATTTAACATCTGACGCAAAATGCTGAATTAAAAAAAAACATAGCTTGTGGATTATAAAAATTAGAAAAAGCATTTCCAAGGAGAATATTACATCTAAACAATCATTGTGTCAAATTCAATGAGGCCGTTTTAATGAAAAGCTCCCAGTCCCCGTTCCGTTTCTTACTCTGTTGGATCAAAATATACATAAATCAAAAAAAAGAAAAAACATTTCATGTACAAAATCAAACAAACAGAAATGCAGATTCATTAGTGGTGATAATACATACTGTATACAGACACATTCTTCGTCGTTTATTGTATTGAAAAGTATTAAAAAATATTCAATACTACAAGGTATTGAATATAAGTACATTAACCGGGTTAATTTAACCCATGTACAGTCGCTGAATAGTCAACGATGAAGATAAGATAAACTATAAAAAAAAATATGGAACAAATATACACAAACCACTGATTTATCATACATTTAATAAATCGCAAATAACTGTCAACACAACTCAATGGCCTGATCTCCATCAAGTCTAATTGAAAACAAAGAATGACCTATTTTTCTCTCTAAAAAATCATAATAAAAAATAGTTATCAGTACATTATTTTTTAGTCGATGGCACCAGGCACACCTTTACCCTTCATCTGCCTTTTACACAATGTGCCACTCAAGCTAAATTGGGACCGGACGGCCAAACAACCTTCGTTAACAACATATGGCTCAACAGGGTTCTTGGTGAAGGATTTGACATGCCAGTCCCTGCCATTACTTTTGAATGTACTTATCAGAAACAGTACAGCATTGTGACTTCGTTAAAACCAGCGTAAGTTCGATTACAAATATTTAATCCAAGGGAGTGAAGAACGTTTTTTGTACCAACGATATTAGTTTGTGTGAGAGAATTTAAATCATAAGTGTATCTGAAATTTTGTGGGATATCTGAATTACCTTGCTGTATAGGTCGACAGTCAATGTTCTATTATTCAATTGATCTGCTTTGGAATGTAATTTACAATATGGCCTCAAAGTCAGCATATTATTTCTTATTGACAAATAGTTCCCTTCACAGACGTGAGCAGCCACTACTGATCAAGCAAACTGGAACCCAGATTGTGCAAGGATCCATCGAGTTATGTAAAGTACCTTATTCATGCCCAAACGCATGTCCCTCTCCGTATGCTCTTACGCAAGGGGCAGTGTATACAGTGGGCGAAATGATACATTTGAATATAAATGGCGGTAGGGGACAATTTCAGGTAAGAATGAATATGCTTGTATTTATATTGTGTATAGTAATGTTTTTCATACAAAGGACTACGACAAACTTTTTATTTTTGTCGTTTTTGTTTCGTGCTTTTATATTTGATATATATATATAGACTTATTCCCCAGCCCTCAATTGCCAATTTTTGGTGTAAAAGGGTAAGGGTACTTCCGCAGTATGTGAACCAAAATGACGGACACCGGAACATAGTATGTGTACCAGATTATGGTTAGGCCATAATTTTAGGTACAAATACTTCGGGGGTCGCTTGGCTAGTCCCCGAATTCGTAATAGAACTAAAATTAGGAAAATTGGAATAAAATTATGACCGAACCCTAACCTGGTACACATGCTACGTTACGGTGTCCACCATCTTGTTTCGCATACAAAAGGAGTACCGAAAGAGCCTATAACGTTTGGAAAGTTAACATAATAATATGGAAGCAAATGTTGTTTCTACACTGAATCCAGTTTTGGAGATTACCACATTGCACAGCTCGGGCAAGAAAGCTAATGATTTAAACTCTATCACACATTTTGTTTTGAACAATATTTTTCTTTAAACTAATGCAAAATTTTGATTGCCAATTTTTATTTTCACCCCACTTTCAGGGATTAATTACAATCAATGAATTGTCTCTGTCATGCGATGATGCACCGAATGGAAATGTAGCAGTCACCTTGATCAGCGACGAATGTCCGTTAAAAAATATGCCTGTCGTTATATCACACAGTGGAGTATCGCAATCCGTATGTATTTCATTTCAAGTACCAAAACTGCAAAATTGTGAGAGGTTTTACATTCACGCAAAACTTCAGTCTTGCTCTGAAAATGTAAGTTTGTTGTGATGTTTTCAAACTTTTAATCGTGAAATAATGATGTCGCTGTTCCGCTATCTAGGGCTGCGTTGTTTTTCATACCGCGGATGGAACTTGTTTTCAACTTGGTCGTAAACGTCGTGACGTAGAAGATGAATCAATTCCGTTTGAATATTTTGAACAACGTTTTGGTCCGATTCACGTAATAGACGGCGAAGTAGGAATACCGAATGAACTGTTGTTCCCGGGTGACGAGACTGGAAATTTTTCTGTCGAGCTTGTCGACAATCCAACTAGAATTGTGCAAGGATTGCCTGTTCACGAAATACCATTTACATCGAAGGGTTAGATGAATTTTTATTTGTTTATATACATTTAAGGATGTTTCATGGTTATGATGTTTCTTGCGTATTCCAATCTAATATACTTTCTTTCTGATATATAAGTAGCCAAATTAATTCTGCTAAAGGCATAATATTTGTTAGGGGAACAGCATATATACACAAATATTTATGCATATATACATACATTTACTGCTGCAAATGTATTTTTGAGTTCTTGCTTTTTTTTTCAGATGATACCACTGACATTGCAATCATGGTCGTCACTGTTGTCGGATTTTGTATAATTTTTTCACTACTTATTTCTATTGTGTTGTATTTACGAATTCGCAAAGAAAAATTTCTTTGTATTTATTCATGACAAAATAAATCTAAGACTGTTGCATTTTTGCAGTTTTTGAATACTCTTGTGCCGCTACTAGACATATTGAAAAATGTTAAACTGCAACAATTACCCAACCAGTATCCGGGTGTTCTTAAAATCTGCAGATCGATTACAAATTCTGAGGAAGGCGCGATGCATACATACATGCACAATATATATAAACGGGAAATGCAATATTCAAAATACAGATAGCTGAGGTGCTTAACTGTTTTTTCACGATTAAATAGCTTACTGAATGTGTAGTATATTTTTTTTAAAAGTCTATCAAATTATTGGACACGGAATGTACTTATGAATGGTTGGTGTGAAAATTTATTAAAAACTTCTGGACCAATTGCTTCGAAATTTTAAGCGGTTAAAAATTGTTGTTGTTGCGAGAAGGCTAATACATTTATTTATTTCAAAAATTGACTGAAAGTTATGTGTGATGGCGCCGCCAAAAGTCCGGTCCAGCGATCTGATGGTCAGGGGACAACTGTACTGTGTAAGATTTGATATTATTTCATTTCGACTTCCGTGTCCATATATTTGTGCATTGCTCTCTTGTTGTAGGTCAAGTCATTTATTAACAATAAACTATGAAACCATGTAACATAAATTGTAAAATAGGGTTGCCATACCGTTCGGACATGTCCGGAATTTAGGGTTATATTTTGCGTCCGGGAAGAATTTGAAAAATGCTCAAATGCCCGGAATCCGGAATTTTACTGCATCTGCGATCGTACTGTGCACACTGCTAATACAGAACATTGTTATTTCGTACCGTGCGCATATTTTTTACTACGAGGTCATGAAAATAGTCATGCACTGTCCGGAATGTTTTTTTTTAATATGGTGACCCTATTGTAAATGTCTTTCATGATTTATTCGATGCCCCTTTCATTGGAGTGAAATCAGCCAATGTTGATGCAGCAGAACCGATGTGATATACAACAATAGAGTACTGTCTTTTGACCTTTGTTAAAATAAAGAAAAACATGGTTTAATTAAAGGCTATTTTACAAATGCCCATTTGTTCGAAATTCATCGAAAGATTTTTCATCACCTATCCCTATGCCATAATAATTCAATGCAGCATGTTTTGGTAAATTAGGCTACATTAAAGATTTACCTTTTCCCATCTTGCTGATTGATTCGGATCTGCGTCAATGTCAAACATCGAATCGACTAAGCCAGGGAAAGCAGTACTTGAATATCGGTCGTGTTGGCTGGGTGCATAAATTGCGTGTTTGTGTGCAGAGTTTCCGCCAATATCTTTTCCATCGATAAAAGCCCTTTCCAGTTGAATTAATTGATCATTGACGGCTCTTATTTCTAAGGAACTGAAAATGATGTTGATTGTTACATATTCATTAGCGAATTACGTAAGGGTGTAGACGACACGCAATGTAATCAAGACACCACCAGAAGTATTTAGTTAGCAGTTGAATAATAATCTACAAGTACTGTATATCTCTCTTGTTCAGTTAAATTTCTCAAAACTTGCACGATATAATATTTGTGCTCAATGTAAAAGATTTGTTAGCTGTTCTTAGTAATAAAATACCTGTTTCGATCATCCATATTATTTATCCGTTTGTGAAAATGTATAGCTGCTGTTTCAAAACCGTAGACGGATTTTTTCAGAACATCTAACGTAAAAGTTATAAAAGGATTGATTAGTATATTTGTACACGCTTGTGAATATTCAAACTTAAATGTAAAGTAAATTTGTGACATCTATATTCCAAAGCAAGTTCATTTAATATATTTTTTCAAAGTAAGTTATCAGTAAAAGTATTTGCAGAAGAGTTGCAGCGATGACTTTCAGCGATCAAATTCAACTTTAGGAGATCCCAAACAGAAGAAGCCAAAAGGAACATTACAGTTTTATTTAAATGATTTTGAATATTACAAGTTCACCTAAGTCGATGCCATGCTCCTTCATATTTTCACCATATTTTTTTATCAATTCATTTTTGTGTTTATTGAGCATTACTGCATAGTACGTCATGTTCATCGGCAATATGACATCATCGACGAATCTTCTTCCCAGTTCCGCCATAACTCTCGCGAGTGCCTGGTGATACGTAAAATCCGGATCTACAAATTTCTTCATGTAGTCGAAGGTTTCGTAAACTGAATGATAGACTGGATAAAAGTCGAGTCCTTGTCGCTGTATCAAATAAAAAGATTCTGAAAGCTACCAAGAATTATAAATTGAATGTCCTCATTGTGGTATATTTGATAACTGGATGTTCCTTGATGACATGGGAAAGTTACATGTATTATCACAGTCATGCACTTAGGTCTTCACGTAAATGGAGAACACTCTGTATATTATACAATTCAAGAGACTTGCTGCACAGTAACACAATGTTATTTCTGTAACTTTTCGTCTGGCCAAGATCAAACTTTCTCAGCACATTTGCCACATGCGCATACGGATCCATTAGCGCAAATGCTTTGAGGAAGGATTGGGAGTTAGTCTGGTGTAAACTCTACTAATAGTAATACTCGATATATTGTTACTTATCGATTTTAATCGGTATTTACTTATCGATTTTAATCGGTAAGTATGTTGATAGGTATTTGTCTGTCTGTCTGTATGTTAGATGCACGCGATATCTCACGAAAGCGAGATTGAATCTGCTCCAGATTTTGAATGTGCATTCATCATATGTCGAATCCGAAGCCTTTAGATTTTGAATGAATTATGTCCTATAATTAGCGAGTTATTAATTAATTAGTGATGGGACAAGGATGTCACTATGGAGTACAAGCGCTGTTTTGGGGATCCCCTAATTTTCGATCGTTAAGTCTTCGGTCTCTGACCGATATTCTCGTTTACTATTTTGATATGTCAAATGTTCTCTTAGTCGTGAATGAACTGACATACGTATAACTGCTCGAAGCCGATGTAGTCAAGGTTCGCTGTTCCTTACCGTAGCTAAACACATAGTATATAGATACTTGGACAATAAAATATGGCAGCCAGGAAATAAAACTGTGTAGCTGGTTGCATGATGTCGCAAACGCATTGACCGATTTTCATAATACCAATACTTACTATATCACCCACGTATACAATGTCCACCACACTGACTCCAGGAATTTGCAAAAAAGCAGTATAATCACTCCCCGAGCCAAGTTGTCGAATACTGTAAAACGAATTCAATATTAGGTTTCAATATACAGGGTGATCAGACCAAGTGTAGACAAATGTTTATTAAAATATCCACAATATTAATGTAGAAGAGGAAAAAAATTATTTTATAGAAAATAGCAGTATAAAGATAAATAATAGAATTCATTATTATTTTTCGAAATATCTTCCCTTTGCCTCGGTCTGATTGGAACTTGACTGCACGAGGCACGTATGGTTTCATCTGAAATTTTGTTCCAACAAGTCATCAATCTATGCCTTATAGCAGTTGTTCTCAACCTGAATTACGCGCACCACTAGTGATATGCGGGAGCTTTTCAAGTGGTACGAAAGCAGCTTTTAATTATTTCAACAATCAACTTTTGTACTCGCCAAACGGCGTTTATAGCGCTACCAGTTCTTTTCTTTTAGAGATCACTCTCGCCCGTTACTGTCCACCTAAAACGAAATGGACATGTTTTGCCATTTTGCGCGTACGTCACAATACATCTTATCATAACCACTAAATCCGAAACCTCGGACGAATACACCTTGATCAGAGCTATCCGCTATCACGAATGCTCCTTTATTTCCCTATTTATTAATGCAGACGCATTATGACGTACACGTGAAACATGGCCGAGAACATGCCCGTTCCGTTTTTGCTTTGCTGGATTTTTAACGCTATAATTTAAAGCTGCTTGCGTGCCACTCGTGGTGCACGCACCTCCGGTTGAGAACAACTGCTCTAAGGCATAGAAATATGACTTGTTGGGACAAAATTTCAAAAGAAACCATACGTGCCTCGTGCAGTCAAGTTCCAATCAGATCGAGGCAACGGGAATATATTTCGAAAAATAACAATGAATTCTATTATTTATCTTCATACTGCTATTTTCTGCAAAATGATTTCTTTCTCTCTTACATTTATATATATTGTAGATATTTTAAATAAGATTTGTCTACACTTTGTCTGATCACCCTGTATATATATATATATATATATAAATATATGATGTTAATTCATATTTCATAAGAGTGCTCCGTCGCTTAAAAAGTGTTTTATCGTTCTTGCCCAAATTATTTCCAAACTTTTGAAGCAGATGAATAATATTTAGACATTTTTTGGGTCGAATTGCATGATAACGACTAAACAAAGTTATCTGATTTTCTTACATTCCGCTGTATGGAGAATATACAGGAAGTTATTCAGGCGCTCCGGAAGCATGTGTACCAATATGGAGGTAACTAATTTTGTTCGCCTACTTCACATCAAGTTGTGTAAAGGGACTGAAGCCTATGGGCAGGGGGTATATTCACTTGGCTAACACAGACAGTCCCCGAACTCGTATTAGACTTAAATTAAACAAATTGGAATAACATTATGGCCTAACCCTAACCTGGTACACATACAAATATTTGTAAAATTACAATGGCTTTGAGTTGGCATCTTTTGGATTCGCTGGCCAACGTCTTTTCCAAGTATCATAAATTGTTTTCCTTCCTGCTTCAACCTCCGCGTTTTCGGGATTTGGCAAACTTGCAGTGACGTTGAATATTACATCAACAAGACTAGGAATGCTTCCCGCGTGAAAGGTGTAGCCGCCAAGAATCGCCGTGTCTGCATTTATATAGACTACTGCACGAGATGCAAGATTTTTTTGGAATTCCTGAAATTAGAAAATATATATGCGGCTTGTAGTAACATGATTACAAAAAAGTATAATTGAATCGAAACGAATATTCACTTATGTAAGCAAAATCGCGCCATTCTATCAAATTTATTGTAAAATGAGTACATTATACTCGTGAGCGTATATACATATTAATAATAATAATTCGAGAATATTTTGTACAGAGACTAAAATTCAAACTATAGTTTGTATTGATTTGTTTTCGTGGTGTACTTGATCATTGCTTATGATTGCAAATTATAAAAACAACTAGAACATCAAATAGATGGGATTTACTAGTGTTTTATTTTGAATTTATTGAAATGAAATTATTATATATATAATAACTATTCCTACTTCCGCCCATTCAGTCGATCCCATGAGTCCATATTCTTCGGCTCCCCAACTACAAAGCATAATTGTTCTTCTTGGCTTCCAGCCATTTTTAACAGCGGTTCCAAACGCTTTACCCAATTCTAACAATATGGATTGTGCACTTGATGGGTCTATTGAGCCGAACACCCATGCATCTCTGTGAGCCCCAATTATAATGTATCTATCTGGATACAAAAAATTCACAGATGACATAAATGATTTATAGTAATCAATATATATATATTTGTAGCTGAAAATTGCTGTGAATTATTTGAGTTTTCGAGTCTACAGATTGATATTCTGCGTCACAACTTTAACAGCTTCTTGAATTGACAAAAACGGCATAACGGTTTTGAAAACTGACTTTATTCCGCGCTAGTGAAAATTGGAAAAAAACGATACTAACCTGCTTCAACGGTTCCGCGAATATATCCGATGACGTTGTGAGTTATTGCTCTTTCGTTTCTCGTGTTTACATGCATTTTAATTTTACTAAAAAGAAAATTTATTTTTTACCGACACAATCAAACCATGCGTTTTTGGTCAAATTTAATACAAATTTTTGTCAATAGTATATATTATAGAAGGTACTAATGTTGTAGAAAACACAGTTTCAAATTAGATGGTTCGCTCAATATCTTTTAACCACTAAATACTGACAGTATGTACTCAATGAGCCGTGGGAAATAAAGACACTTTTCCGGATATTTCCTCATATAAAACTACGCTCCCTGATGACATCGCTAAAACAAATTATGATCACGTGATTTGAGGGAATTATGGCTGAGTTACAGCACTACGGCATAACAGAATCCGGAATTTCCTTCAATTCTTTAAACTTTTTCAAATCTTTAGTTAATGATTCTCGTAAGAACTTTGTATACACGTATTGAGGTTATTATTGCATTCCCATTATCTGTTAATTAAAAGATTTCAATTTGTTTGCGAAAGCTCTGCAAATTTATTATGCTCGTTAACAATTCTGTGTCATGGTTACCTTCACAAAACTTGAAATTCACAACATCATTTTGCTATACCTTTCTGCGTGTTCACCAGTAAAACCAGGTCCCAGACGATAAGTTATGTTCAACCTTCCCTGCCAATCTTTTGGTGCCACTGGCCCAGTCAATCTTGATAAGTACATCTGCGCATCATCGTACCCAAGAGGTGTAACAGGTATGTTTGGGACCATGAGTTCTTCCTCTGATATGCGCCAGGCAGAATCTAATGAAAAAAAATATGACAAAATAATGTCTCATGTGAAATTGGTTTGCAATGATGTAATACAAACAGATTTTATTCAGGCTATCAACTTGCTACGTCTAACACAACATTGCAAAAATTAAGTTTACTTTGATTTGCGGTGTATGAATAACCTTGTTTATTTACCCCCATTGTCGACAAACTTTCAACAAAACAAATCAGTTTTTTCTACAAAACCACAACGCCATGATTTATCACATCGTTGTATAGCAAGGAACAGTGCAAAATTAAAAAGCTAACAATAAGTCGGCAACCCAAGGATCGGATACGGCAAGACAGGTGAGATCATCCAGTCCGAGACATATCAATCGTTTTTTTTTACAAAAATACGTCCAAACTGTAGTCCACCATTTGATAATCATTTGTCGTATTGTGCCATGAAAAATCTTCGCTATAAAATTGTCGTGATGCCGACAATTTTGTAATCTAATCAAAGAAAGATGCGCTCGGACGAGCCTTTTATGGTCAGTGCAGGTAGTGAGGAAAAGCGTTACAACATCGGGTGATTTGTCGTTGATTACATCATATTTTTAGGCAATTAAGGATGTTGGCAAAACGAAATAACTACCGTGACAAAAGCATTCACCGATTATGACAAAATCAGACGACTTTTTGTGTGTTCTACTGATTTACTGGACTATCGACCTCATCGTCTTGATCTCGCCTTGTAGTTTCGGTATTCGTTAAATTTATGCGATAAAAATATTCGATTTTGCCCACCCATAGTTATTTGGTTCGTATGTTGATGTATATTTAAAACGATAGAGAAATTCCCAGCGTTATATGAACGCATGAGAGATAGAGTTTTTAGGTGAAAGTGATCGGTGCCGTCAAAAATTTGTAAATTCTAGCTAAAGGTAGTCTACCCCTAAGCTAGATAGTTATTTACCTATGGAAGGATAATTTGGTGTTTCTGGATCTCCGTCACCAAGAAACACCGTTCCTCTCTGTGCTCCAGTACCAGGCAGAAACCATTCATCTGGATATACTCCTTTGCCAGCTATTGTGTATTCATTCGGGTCCGAATATAATATCATACCAATACAGCCAGCTTCTTCCGCATGCGAAACTATAAATTAAACACCGTCAATATTAATGTTGGACAGTAATTTGGTATTTGGATTCGAAATGAAATGGTTCATACTAGAAAATTGACTATTGTTGATACAGTGCATAAAGAATCAATCGCTTTTCATTTCAGCTACCGGACCAGTCGCTTCAAAAATGTTCTGTAGTTATAGATAGATAGATGTATAATTCCAAACATGGCTATTTTTATATTTTGTCTCGTTGTTTCTTCCGGAATATTGCTCAATAAATGATCCCACTGCATGGACAATATGAATGATCGATTTTGAGGATCACGTGATGTTCAAAACACCAAAATATATGTGCCCATATATTTATACAAAACTCGCTCATATTAAATTGTTTTTGTTTTAGAAATAAATTCACTTTTTATCAACGATTGGATTTTACATCAATTTTGCCTTTCAGAGAAGTTAATGCCGTGCTGACACAAATATTCAAAATATTTGATAACACAAGCTACGACCAAATCGAAATTTACCTTTATCTGCTCGAAATATCTTTCCGTATCTTGCAATACAAATCTTTCCTTTCAAATCGATCGACAGGTTTTTTCGAATCAACTGGAAATCCTCAACACGACCATAATTAACGTAAACAAGATGTCCCTGAGAACGGAGAGGTATTTCACAAAATAGTCTCAAGAATGCTTTTTAAGATCTCGAGCTGTCTGCATTAGCAGGATGTGCACTAACCAGGAAACTGGTAATTACATGTCAGAAGTTAGTATTATTTTGACTGTAATACTCCGCTGATTTGTATTGACGCATAAATTAAAACCACTGTGCAATTCCCCCCTTTTTTATTGGATTCACGAATTATGAAAAGTCAGGATAGTCTATTCTATTACATAGACTCTATGACAAAGCAAGAACCCGCGAGATAAAATAAACATGTTTTCACTTTACGATATTCTGAGACATAACGTAGGCTATAACCTCTTTCTACGATATGCAACTCCAGGCATTCTTAAAATGTCATCAAGCTCACGAAAAATATTTTACCTCTGGATCACCAGCTGGGGAATAAGCATTGAATGGATTGACAACATCGCTGCTATTTTGAGATTGGTCCAATATTTTTTCCTTCGGTTGACTTTTGAATAATTCGTTGCCTGAATGAAACTCAAGAAAGTGAAATGGACGTGAATAGTTCTTGCCAAATACTAATCGTCAATTTCTGTTGTTCAGTCAGATCGCCCAGCATATATATAGCAATTCGTTTACTGTAACCTTAATTCCCTTCTTCGTAGAATATTTCGATAATGTTTTAATTAAACCAGTAGACAGTGTTGGAGATGTTTGTATCGTTGACCCGACCCAGGTCACCATTTATTGATGATTCGAACCTTTTCTATCATCTAACTGAAATGACTCGGAGTTATACGAAAATAACCGTGTGTACATCTAGTCTAGAAGTCCAAAAAAAGCTCCTAAAGGTATATATAGAAAATGACAAGACTAACCTATTTTGGTCAGTATCGCGACATAGTTCGAATCAGTTTTATTTGGATAAGACAATAAAACTTTGTATGGATGAATTTCGACTTCGAGGCCAGATTTTTTAAAGCTGTCAGAGACATATTTCACCAAATCATTTTCTTCAACGTCTCTGCCGGCAATGTGTGGTCGCTTTGTGAGGAATCTAAATCGTTGTACAGAAATGATGTTGATATTTCATCTTCAAGCTAACAGGATTAGCTACTATCTATTCGTTCCTTGTTATTGAAAATATAAAGAGTTCGATCGAAAGAGGTGACTGGTTACTTGAAAATCGGTACTTCACAAATCGGGCATAAAGGGTGTCCGGGGTTAGGTTAGTCCAAGTTAGGAAAAGTTTATTTTCCCCTGTTAAATCTCCCTCTAACACTGTTTGCAGGTACTATTAGGTACTAAAAATAACTATAAGCATAAATATATAGCCTCATGCCCGGTATCTATGCCCAGCAATTTGATGTTGCCCTATTTTGAGTAGTATGCAACTCGAATTGTTTGAACAAGATTATGTCAACTTGTTAGTACACCTCGATATATTAAATGTTAGTAGTTACCTTAAACTGTCTTCCAAACTCTTTCGACTAATCCCTTCATACAATAATTTTGCAACATCGGATTCAGACTTCGTATCATGTTGATCATGATATTCTAGTTTTTTGGGGATTCCGACGATCAAAACTCCTATACCAATACCGAGCACTGCACATGCAGCAGCGATGAAAATTGCCTTCTGGTTACTTATTGTCATGCTGCACAGCTAATTTCTCAATCACTAATTATAGCTTACAGTTCATTGCAGTAGCGTTCCTATGTAAAATAAAGACGAAATTATTTGTGGTTAGCAAAATTATATATCGATGCAGCAAAACAAATGAAATATAATTATTAAACAAATTCTTAATTTAAATTTACGAAAATGGTCAAGTAAATACAATAGTTGGAAATAATACCGTCCTTCGTACAATATTTGATTTCTATCTCTTTGGTTCTTCTTAATATCGAATATTGTCGATTTCCTTCAATTTTTATTTAAATCATTCCTCAGAAAATGGATTTAATATATTAAAAGATATTTTACCTTAACCACGCTACTAGTTTTTCTCTAAATATTGCTATAAATGAAGGCATCTGTTTTGTGGTAAATTATGTAAATTTACTCACTTTTACATCCGTATCAAGTTTCTGTTTTTAAGTGAAATTCGGTTTCAAGTTATACAGTAAGTACATTAATTTACGTTTAAAGACACATAAGCTCTGCGTACGATCAACTAGGGAAAGAGTACGATAATGCTTTATGCCCGCAAGGGTTTCTGCCAACAAGTTACAATTATTGCAAAAATATTTTCTATTTCGCCGAAGTTTTATTTTACATTTGTTTATCCATAATATTCATTTGTTTTATTGAGATAGATTGTTTGATACCAATTAAAAGGTAACTTTCCCACGCAATTGTGACAGTAAAAGAATCTAAGTTAACCGAAGATTATTCAACAACCCAATTTCCCCATTTCATACACGTTTCATAGCCATTGCTGAAATCATTTGACACATTTGCCTTGTTTGTAATACAGTCAGCCTTTCCACCATATGTAGGAATTTCTTGGACGGCGTATAAGAATATCCTCCAACAAACATTGATTGGGAAGACGTTCATCTTCTTGATCGCCACAAAAGGATGCAAACCGGGTGCAAAAGTGCCTTGGACAACACCCAGCATATTTTTCTGGGGTGCGAATATTGCCCATATTGCCCCAGGCATAGCGCCCGAAATCTTAAAAAACCTAAATATTATATGCTTGAATAATGTGAGTGTTCGTATGGAAGATATTTTTTTTGATACTTACAATAACAACTCTATTTTGACGATCTTTAAAATATTTCAAATGTTTAAGGTATACATATTTAAACGTCTCCTATGTGACGGAAAATGTTTCGTTAAGTCCATTCTGTGATTTACAGGCAAATAAAGAAACACCATCTACACCCCCCCCCCCTCCCCCTGCAAACACGTTAGTATACAAAAGGTAAGTATCGATGGGTCGAAGACTACTTAAAAAAAGGAACCTTCACCGCCAACTCGTATACATATACAGCCAACCTAACACACATATACTACAAAAGCCATATATATGCATATACATACAGCCAACTCAATATAAAAATACAGTCACTTAGTTGATGTACAAATACTGCAAGATCACTTTATAAAAATTCAATGTGTGTATATACGGTTGCATTTACGAGGTAAATGCACGTTACATCACATATAAAATCCGTAGATCAAGCAGATGAACAGATATATGGAAAGTCGCAATCGAATAACATAATACCCCACAACACTGGTCGTTCATATAATTAATGCATTAGAAGCGTAAAAATGTGCTGGATGAACATCTCTCTTCATCCTTTTGTGGGAAATATAAGACATAAAACTGCCGATGCGCATAATTTTCGATAAATGTACAATTCTATGATGACACAATAACTCACGACGGGTGATCGTTGATAGTACGAGAAATGCGCTGACTAAAAGTCTCTCCTCAGAGAACTATTATTTAGCTGTTGGCAATAAACCGTCCACAAACTAATCAAATTAACGCTTGGTAAAAAATATAGAACGTTGTAGCGAATGTGGATTGTAACTGTGGATTATAATATTATTAAACCCCTTCATATTAATAGTATGTTACATTCTCTAAAAATGGGGCATTTATATTATTGCAACAGCGATGAAGCCTTCATGCTATGTATATACCCTTTCTCGAATTGATCAATTTGATGACGTATGTTTCCGGTTGTACGCTGAGAGATGGAAATATGGAGTTTTTCATGTTATTCTGATTTTGGCTTCTGATACAACTGCATTAAGATTTTAAGTGAACTCGATATATCTGTGTTTGGATCAATTGGATTGTGAAAGTTTTAAAACAACAAACATTCGGCAACCAATACATTGTGAGTTATTGTCCTCTGAGGAGTTCAGATTGGAGTTACAATACCATAACGTGTTTTGAGCAATTTGATGACGTATGTTTCCGGTTGTACGCTGAGAGATGGAAATGCTGAGATGGAAATTTTCATCTTACTCTGATTTTGGCTTCTGATATAACTGCATTAAGGTTTTAAGTGTATTATTTGATATATCTAAAACAAACATTCGGCAACCAATACATTGTGAATTATTGACCTCCGAGGAGATCAGATTGGAGTTACAATCCCATAACGTGTGTTTAATAACACGGGGACTCTTTTCCCTATAACGTAAACTTGTCGGCGCGCGTAGTTTCCGATAAAAGTACAATAGTCACCAATCTATGGTATCATATTACCTCACAATACCTCTAAACGAGAATATCGGTCAGAGACCGACGACTTATCGATCGAAAGTTAGGGGATTCCCCCAAACAGCGCTCTTACTCCATAGTGACACCTTGTGTCCCATCACTAATTAATTGATAACTCGCTAATTATACGACATAATTCATCCAAGGCTTCTGATTCGAGATATGATGAATGCATATGCAAAATTTGGAGCGGATTCAACCTTGCTTTCGTTAGATATCGCGTGTATCTAACAGACAAACACACAAACAAACAGACAAATAAATACCTATCAACATACTTACCGATCAAGATCGATAAGTAAGAGAGTCTAAACATTACCCCTATCTCTAAACTAACTTTCCGCATTGGAAACCTAAAACCACTTTGGAGAAGTGCGCATCCAAAGGGGATTATAGAATTACTAGATGAACACAAAACATAACGAATTTCTAGGCCTCTAGCCACTCAATGGATAAAACACTGATGAATTATTCGCAATGAAGCATGCCTCATTGAACCCCGGTCCATTATTCCCCAAAAGCGCCAAACATTTTTAGACTGTGTCAAACTTTGAAACGAATGACAGAGTTTGGATATATATAGTATGAGTGCGAGAGCTGGTTTTCCACCGGGTCCATGTCCTGCCGTAGCTCACCTTCCTCCATGGGCTATTCAAAATAATATTCCGCTAACTTAGTTAAATTATGTTTGATTTATCCAATTTCCCGTATTTCAATCTTAGAGCACATCCATGGAATCCTCGCACGCATTATTTCTTTTACTTTTGGACGTCAGGAATAAAAAAAATAACCTAAATTGGATTAGAAATAACCCAAATTGGTTTGACCAGTATACCATGGATATGGAGAAGCAATGCTTAGATCAGTGGTTCTTAAAGTATGGGTCGCGACCCAAACATGGGTCGCGGAAGGTTTAAAAATGGGTCGCGACAAGGTCGTCAATGCAAAGGCAATCTAAGAGGAGAAGGACGAATTTTCAGCTTTCCCAATGTTTCAATTTAGCTTCTAAACTCTGGTATTTAAAAATAATGAAATAAAGAATTTCATTCACGGAAAGAACTGTCTTGAGCTCATTGTTACATCACAATTCTGATATGCCAGTCACGTGTATTCTTTTTATGGTATCGGTAACCATGCACGTCGCTTGTCGTTGTGTTGACCGCATGGAATGTCGTCTAAGTGGATTAAAATAACCAAAAATGGGTGTCTTTTTGGTAATGAAAATTGTAATAGACGACGCAATGAAAAAGCTCGCTTCTTGACATTAGATTATTCAATATCTAGAGAAAATGTGACTTCATCTCGAGGCACCATTTACCGCGAACGAAGCAGTGCGTGCACATGAGACGAGTAAAAAGTTGTATATTGCGAGAGATACCGAAGGCCAGCTAGGATGTCGTGTTTGCGACGGACAGCGGACGCCTTTTCTGCTACAATTCACGACAAGGCACTTGTGCGAGCGAGGATATTTGGCACTGACGGTTATCAAAACTAAGCTCGCAATCGCTTCGATACCCGTGACAACTTGCGTATTGCGTTAAGTAAAATAGAGCTGTGTATTGAAGATATAATGAAAAAGGAAATTTCAGTTTCATCAATCTCACTGAGTCAATGGACTGTTTCTAATAAATAGTTGTCTGTGTTTGAGTCAAACTGTACTAACATTCAAAACACATTTTGCGTTTTTTAGGATTGGGTCGCGAGTATTCATAAAACTCAGATTTGGGTCGCGTTCGAAAAAGTTTAAGAACCACTGGCTTAGATATATTGACATCAACTGTTAGGCTTTAGCTGATCACTGAGTTTGTTAATATAAGATCGATGGACAAGCGTGGTAGAATGACTTATTCTTTTGAATTATATACAATCAAAACATTGCTAAGCCCTCACGTCCCACGAGGCAAACCATGTCGCATATATCCTATTTCAGCATTACTATCGTGTTATTCTCATGTTATTGGTATTCATAAATTTTTCAGTTGCAATGGTCTTCGCATAATAAATTACATTTGAATTGTTTATTTACATAACCACCTGATAGCTTAACATTAATTTCCTAATTTAATTTCTTTCTCAACCACGTGCACCCGTAACTTTATGTTCTATTAAGCTCAAGCTACATGTAGGTAGAGGCTTACCGCTGAAGGATGCTTATATCTGGACGTACCATACGTCCCGGTTTAGCCGGGACAGTCTCGGTTTTAGCAGTTTTTTCCGCCGTGCTGGCGGTAGACCTAAACGTCCTGGTTTTGCAGTATGGCAGTCTTAAACAATTTTCTATTTAATACTATTACAAAATTGTTTTTTTTAACGGTTCAGATAGCGACTAAAATTGTTATGCCATATACCGTGTTTCCCTGTAAATAAGACCTACCGTGAAAATAAGACCTAGTCTGAATTTTGCCCTTAAGATAAGAATTTTTTTTTGACCTAGTGACCTAGTCGATAGCAAGAAATCTCTCCCACACGTTTTTAATGAATAATAATCTATGTTTTGCAGTTATTTTGAATAAAAACGTTTTATTAATAAATAAATTGTTATTGGTTTTCATATTTTGTATATTTGAAAATATCGTAATTCTCTACTCTGTAATTTTGTTTTTGATAAATGAAAATATAAGACATCCCCCGAAAATAAGCGGTGCATCAATTGAATGGCTGTATATGTATATTTAATTTATCATGAGTTAATATGACATTGGTTGTATATGAACATTACATGAATGGCCTCATGGGTACAGTACATTAAATTGGTAGTATATGCATATGGCACTGTATGACAACGCTTAAATGCCTTTATAAGCACACAGAATTGACGATACATATATATATGAAAGTGTCTGATTGGGTACACAATTTGAGTGGCTATGGTATATTACGTAGTCTCTATGGCAGTGGTTGATTCTCAACCTGTGGTACGCGTACCACTAGTGGTACGCGGAACATGTTCAGGTGGTACGCGAGCAGTTTTGAATTATTGCATTAATTAAACTTTTGAGTTCGCTAAAATATGCCGACAACGCTTTATCTTCCATACCATATGTATTCGCTGTACGCCTTTATGCATCTTTTCCCGGGCATCAATTACCTTGTTTATTTCCATAACCATAACCAATCAACAAAAAGTCAACAAAGATGTAACAATTGCAATTTTTGCAGCCGTTCAGACACTTCTGTCCTCCAGGCAGATATTTAAGTATGGTTGTAAAGTAAACATTTGCCTCGTTTTTGTAGATTTGGGGGATATTTGTCAGTTTTCAGTCGTGTTTCGAAAAAAAATTTGTGAATTAAATATCTTGATTATGTCTTCAAAGAAGCATTAATTTAGTTGATGTAATCAAAAATGAGTCTCGCAAATGCTGCGATAGACTAGTCTAAACTATCAGTGCCTGTAAGTGTCACGTAATTGATTTACTTTAATGAAAGTGAGGGTTATAAACACGTAAACAAGCGCCAACACATCAAAACATTCTCAAAATAAGTATAAGATTTTTTGCAGTACAGGAAGAATTTGTCTGGGGTCAAGGATCGGAGAAACGTTCTATGGACTAGCCTAGTCTTTAAAAATCGCCTTCTATTGTTCACGAACGAATAGAGATGGGCATGTTTTCGTCGTCTTGCGAATTAGATCACAAAAATGTAGTGTCACATTAATAAATGCTCCCATAGAACGTGTCTTGTGCCATTGTTCCCCACGCCAAAAGGTTTTTTTTTTTGATGGTACGCGGACAGAGTAAAATCAGTAAAGTGGTACGCGGTCAGTAAAAGGTTGAGAACCACTGCTCTGTGGGCTTATTGCCTTGAGTGTGTATGTAAATTACTCGATTCGCTGTATATGTATAATTATTTGGCTGTATATGCATGTGATATTGACTTTTGTATGTGCATCACTTTTACATATATTTATGTGTAGTGTTGGGTTATGTACGTAATATGTATTGAATTGGGTGTATATGCATATGACATAGGCTGTAAATACATATTTAGTTGGCGCTATATGTATATTTTTGGCTGTATATTATTATCACGTTACCAACCCCACTCGCAAGTGGGAGTGGAATTGATAACAATATATAAATATAGGCTACATCCAATTACATATGCACATACAGCCAACCCAATGTAAACTTAGCAAATAGATTTTATATGTACGCATGAACGTGCGTTTGATGTGTAACGTTGCCTTTGGTGCTCATTTATACCTCAAGGTTATACGTACCAAGTGAGTAAATGCGCCTTACCTATAGTTTACAAATGCGTTTACTGTAACTTGGAATTTTGAAGAGGCGAGTGCTAGCATAGGTTTTGTCATGGTCATTGCGTTTCACACTACGCAAATCTATTAGTCGCTTGCTTGCTCGTTTCACTGATGTAAAGCAATAGGTCAGTGGTTCCCAAATTCTTTAATATTGTTATCCCTAAATCGAATTACCAAGAGCTCGATAACTACTTCCAAAATTTCTGGCGCGCAATTCATCTAATTCAATAGCAACAATAACATATGAATCCATAAACACAAAGAAAACCCTCCTTATTAATTCTTTCTGGAAAGAGTGGCACTGTTTCTTCGATATCAAATCTGTTAAAGTTGATGACAAACGACATCACTCATATCATCGTTTGTCATATAGTTGCTGCTATATTTTATTTTAATGGATGTCATTACGGAGAGTCCTACTCAATAGCAAAAAATTGAAGGAAATTGAATCAAAAATATTAAAGCATTATTGGGAAGGGGGGATATTCTCGATGAAGGCACGGACAGGGATTACAAAAAAATCTGTTAAAACAGTGAACATATGAATTAACCCCTAAATAGTTTCAAATAACCCCATTTAGGGGTATATAACAACCCCCAGTTTGTGAACCACTGCAATAGGTGTTTGCTGGAGGAGATGCAGTCAAAACATTGTAAGATTAGACGTGAGTACAAACAGAATGAATTCAAGTACTGAAATTGATGTACTGAACAGAGGCAATTAACATGTGTTTGTAGCATTCACGCCCGCACGAAAAAGTCCTTGAAGATATCTCTCTACAAAACGTAATTCTAGCTATATATCAAGCGCTAGTCTTGGCGGCGCTAGAGTTTTATATTGACATAAATAATTTGGATGGGTTTGAGGCATATCTGAATATGTTTTTTTGCACGTTACATTCGAGTGCTGATAATACGTAGGTAACTACGATATTTGTTTCAGCCGACGATTCGGTATTTTCATTGATATTTTCGGAAATCAAGTGGGCCGGATGAAGCACTTCGGTGGGTCGTATCCGGCCCGAAGGCCGTAATTCGCTCACCCCGGGGGCAGATGATCTCTATGACGAAATGCAGTCGTGTCCATGCTAAAATTTACCATCATTTCGAAATACCAGATTAACCTACAAACTTTATGTGGGGTTGTAATGCTCAGCCTAGAGAACTCAAGAGAGAGGGTTATGCGCCTATGTCGAATCGATAGAAGTTCACATTTGTAGTCCATGTATTCAATATTATGGTGTATGCATAATTTCATTAGTGGATCCCATGTAATTCCTCAGAACTCAAATAGATCTTTGCAGCTTATAATGTATTTTCAAATTTACCCACGAAAATGAAGAGGAAAACGTAATCGGGCAAACTACAAACCGAATCGTCTTTTACTAAACTACTCAGTCGCGTGCGCATCTCACAGCGGTATATTTGAAGAAATGGATTATCTACAAAGTGCAAATTTTTGGCTAAATATTTGAAGATTGAAGGCACTATTAAACATACTGCAAGTACAAACATTTGTGCGTACACACAAAGGCAACTGTTGAAATGATTTACAGTAAGGCAGAGTGGAATGTACAGGGATGTGTCATAATTTCACTGGCAAAACATTTCAGAAAACAATGATCGCATATCGATGTCGTAGTTCATAAATGTTCGTAGCATTCTCTAAAGTGATTTTGTTAATAGCTTAGCACATTAATACCCTTCTACAAATATGTCTTATTAGTTACTAAATACTTTTTGTTACTTGAAGAAAAATCATGATTACAATTTATGAAGTCAAAAGTCACTAATTAATCTTTCAATGCCAATCACATAAAATATCGATGTGCGAGCATGGTTCATCTTCTAGTAATTGTTGTCCTCCCAGTCAGTGTAACCGTCGTCCCACTGTGACTGGAAATCTTCCCAAATTTCATAGTCCTGTATATACGGCTGCATGAACTGACTTGTGAGTCCTGCGATAAATAATGCATGTAACAATGAATGTTCACTATATTTTGATTATTCTTGAAGTTAACAGTTTGATTTTAGAATAGTCGTAAACGTTCATGTAAACCACTGATGAATAAAATAGGTTTATTACTACAAATTATTACAAATATTTACCCTTTCTTTCCTGACATACCCGAGTAATGAGTGTGTATATAACTTCTATGCATGAAATATCTATATAATGATATTGATCTATATCAGGGTGGTCCAAGATTGACAGCTCCGCGGGCCACAAAATTACTTTCGCATTGTCCGCGGGCCACAATAGTGCCAAGAACGTCGCTCGTTTAACTTCGGTGGTTGCCTCAGCAAGCCATAACACTAGTCAATCCAGTGACATTAGGGATGCAACAATATGTCAGAAGATTTTTTGGTTAATTTTATGACGAAACAACACGAAATGCAATTTTTTAATTCCTCTCCGAATGTGACGCGGGCCACAGATAATAGAGCAGCGGGCCACATGTGGCCCGCGGGCCTGAGTAAAAACTGAATAAATATAAGAGTAAATATGAGGTCATAAATACGATTTTATCCCGAAAGCAGTATCAGATAATACAAAGTTCCGGGAATCAACTAACGAGGGCTTATATAATTTCTTTTTAGAACAATTTTTACAGTTTGATACTTTTTTTATTTTCTTGACTTTTTATGCAACGTTCGGGGATTACCTAGATATTTGTGATCCAAACAAGAACAAAATCCACATCCGAAATAATCGCTCTCGCAGGTCATCATGGCAGGATTTCTGCAACGGATTCCAGTGAAATCAAGGCATTTTGGAAGTTCTATTGTCTCTCCTTGACCAGTTTCGGATCTAAAAATTACTTTATATATTAAAGATTTATTTTACCTCAACATCACACTTAACTTCGGAATGAAACGGTTCAACGAACGTTGCTTTGGGGGCCACGAGCAAAGACTTTCGCGAGGCACCATCCGCGATACCTTCATTTATTTAATGTATATTGATTTAGATTTGACTGTGTTATTTGACTTTAATGTATTTCATTATTTAAATATCGTTTGTTGACTTTTTATTATCCAACTTGGCAGACAAAATAACTGGTGGAAACTCTTCAATAGCAAGGCTACGTATCTTCATTCACGAGCAGTCTTTGGAAGTGACGAAAGTATCGTGGGACACAACACATTTGAAACACGCACCTGCGACATACAGTCATAAAATAACTTGTATCATTATTGACGAATTTTAATCTCAAAAGCGTGGTTTTATGTGAAACGCGTCATTTGGTTAACATTCCATTTTTCTATTCAAACATTACTATTAATTATGCATAACTGACGTAGTGGACTCTTTTATTGAGTTTGTTTAATGATACTCTTAGAGACCAAAAAAATTGCCACAAGGTCTCATATGTCACGCTGTTTTGCAAATATGCAACTTTATTAAATATTTTTTCGAATATATGATTAATTGTAACAAAGAACTTATCGCATTGTTTGTATATATTTTACGTTAATTTATTAATTAATATAATTACAAAATAAATAAATAAGATTTGCATACCTCCATTTGTCAAAGCCAGCTTGCCATTTAGGCAAAGTGTAAGATCTCCATTTTGCGTACATTTTCAACCATTTTGTCGCTGTAGATGTCTCATTTCCACTTGGCGGTAGCGCTGAAGTATAATTAACGATTAGCAAAACGGTCTTAAGGTCTATAATATATATCATATTCAATTTTAGTGAATCAATTCCTCATTTTGAAATAAGATATGAACACAATAATTTCAAAGCATTCAGTTTAACGTCTCGCTTTCTCTAGTTACAGTAAAAGACTAACCTTTTGGACATACAGATATTTCCAAGGTTGGAAGCACTTTCAAAATAATGTTCACCCCGATATCAAAAGCACGGCGAAGCGGAGAAGTTACAGGAAGAAAATACTTGATGAAAGTGATATCACATTGATTTTGGAATACGTCAACGATCGTATCTCTAGCAGAACGGAACGCCCTGTACATAACAAGATAATGTTTAATGATGACCACTGTCGTCAATTCGTCAAGTTGCTTAGTTACTTGACCAATTGGACGTCATTTTGTGTTTTCCTAACATGTAATAGTTAGTGAGAAAAAAATTGATGATGAGCATTCCTCTCCTTTCATATTTTTCTCCAAATTGTTAGCGTACAAAAAAGTTCTCGGTAGCCTAAAATTCGTTTGATTCCTGATGTATTATCTCAAGTTCCACCAAGGATGTTGGAATAAATAATTGTAAATGCGATTTCAAGTTGTAGATAATATTTTTTCAACCAACTTACATACAAACGTCTGCTGCGTTTCTAGCTCCCAAAAAGTTGTAGTATGCTTGAACTATTTTTTTGGCAATACCATAGGTACTGTTCGGTCTACAAATTCCTACGAAATTTCTCATGTAGTACTCAATCGAAGATGCAGATATCGGGCCACCGCTGCATATCATATCGTTAAAGTTGGGAGAAGGTCTGGCTCCGTGATAACCATAATTGCCATAGTTACCGTAATAAAAACCATCATTACGACGAGGTGTTGCAAGAAATCTAATGCCTTTGATTATGTCCTGAAAAAGACCAGGATATACTTGTTACAATTTTTACATGAATTACTAGAATATTGAAAAGATACTATATAGGTCAGATAATTTATGTTAATAAAATAATTCTTCTCGTATTTGATTTCATTCTGAATCAACTTCTGATGTTGTTTCTGTACGTTGTACATCAGTATATGACGTCACAATAGAAAAATATTTTTTAAATATATTTTAAAATATACCTATTAAATACCTTTGAAGTTGGCTAATTCAGTTACTTACTACGATGCAAGTCTATTTTGAACTGTACACAAATTAGTATAAATAAAAATAAAATATTTTATACAATAAAACGTCATACCTCAAAACGCGTATACGGACTTAAGGTATCAAATACATTTACTCCATCTCCCTTAGCGCATTCTTGAAGTCGATTTGCAACGCAATGTAAAAGACGATTGACGTTGCTTCTGTAAGAAAATGATTTTAATGAAAAATTGATTTTGTTTCAATAAAAATCGAACAACACTATTCACAATACCAAAACGAATGGTCGGGATGGGCACTAGGTCGCCAATTCAAGACAAAAGTCTGTCACTGACAGCATAACATTTATTTTTTTACTTGTTTGATACCGTTTCACTTTGGCAACGAGTATCGGCAAATTATATTTTTATGACGTATTTTTACTCCAAATAACGCTCTGATCTAAACAAACGTACACTCTGCAATATGTACCAAGCAACTACTTTCAAAAAAAATGAAATGTTTCTGGATCGTAATTGCGTAATGGATTTATATAGATCGCTAACTTGCAATTCCAATCAACATGGTTAATCCCAAAGCTTTATCATTACGCACATGACCAGTTGTGTGGTAAGTATATCTATAATAATAATGGCGTTCCAGAAGTGTGTGTACCAATATGGAGGTAACTAATTTTGTTCGCCTATTTACATCAAGTTGTGTAAAGGGACTGAAAACTGTGGGCAAGGGGTATACTCACTTGGCTAACACAGACAGTCCCCGAACTCGTAATAGAACCAAAATAAGGAAAATCGGAATAAAATTATGCCCTACCCTAACCTGGTACACACACTACGAGAGTGCCATATAATAATAATATATAAACTCCATGCGTTAGTTATATAAGATTTTTCAACTTTGTAATTAACTGGGTATGTGCTCGCACACACACAAAATTTCACAGAAATCAATGAAAAACACTTACTTGCACATGTTTGAATCAGAATATGGAGTTTCTTTAGTAAAAATACTTTCACAGCTCCAAACCGCTTTAATAGTTTGACGAAGAGTACATGAAGGAAGGAAAGGAATGTCTGAAAAATAACGGTGCTTTATTTAATTTTGCATTCGCTTTCAATCTCGATTTATATAAAAATATGATGCAAAAACAAAAGAGCTATGTTCAATATGTGGACACGGAACGCAAAACTAAATATTTTATCATCAATTGCCCGAAAATTATGTGCGGTAGCTTACCAGTAGTCGTATCGGGATACGGGCAACTCACAAATATTCGAAACAAATGAAAATATTAGCGTTCTAGCGGAAAATACAATCTTTCATCACAGAAAATTTCAAGCAATTGGTCGATTAATTGCAAAAAAATTTTTTTCCATAACGATAAAAAGAAAAATACCAAGAACATGAACAACATAATAACAAAACGATCCACGCATCCACTGCATGTCCAACTTCATATATTTCACATATAACTTTATGAAAAATGATAATTAAGCGATAAAAAAACGTAATCTTACCGTCTGGATGCTCAGGCTCGGTAGGTGGTTCCACTCCTGAAAACAGATATGAATATGTATTATATCTTTAAAAATAATTTTAATAAAATAATATAATACGCAATAAGAAATACAATGATGATAGTATCATATTGAAAAAGTCCAATAAGTTGTCAATGGCCGCGTATAGTTTTGGCGTATTGAGAAAAAAAATTCAGATAAACAAGTTCTGCAGAGCCAGATACATAATCGCCTTGTTTCTTGATATTTATTAAATACCTTACCCTCACAATAGTCAGGTGCAATCTTCGGTATCATCGCCTTGGCTTGAACAATGAGCGCACGAATTTGATTTCTCAAAACTGAATCACAAGGAAAATGTGAAGCAATCATTTCCAGATTACATCTACTATTTACTGCATCCAATACTTTATTTATCAACCCTTTCAATGAGCTAAGAACGAAAAAATAAAAGTTACAATTGATTGAAATCGTACGCAGATTCTGAATAAAGTATAAGCAGCAATTGGCGAAGGCATTGTCTGTGATATTTAATTTTCTCGTCAGGTATCATGTGGTGTTGTGATAATGAAATATAGGTACTCTCGTAGTGTGTGTACCAGGTTAGGGTTACCGTTAGACCATAATTTTATTCCGATTTTTCTTATCTTAGTTCTATCACAAGTTCTGGGACTGTCTGTGTTAGCCAAGTGAATATACCCCCTGCCCATAGGCTTCAGTCCCTTTACACAACTTGATATAAATTAGGCGAACAAAATTAGTTACCTCCATATTGGTACACACACTTCTGGAGCGCCGAAATAGAAACCTGGGTTTCACTATGGACATATAGGTACATTATGCTTGGGAATGTAAGTGGGTAATTTCAGTTAAAAGGTAATTTTTCAAAATAGTCTTTCAAATCTCACCTGCACATTTCATTTCTGCTTGTTGATGATTTTAGAACAAGCAAATACTCCATTCCCCAGTCCAAAAGGCTATCGAGAATAAATCTATCACAATATGGATTTCCAAAGTGGATAGGCGCAGGAAGTTGATTTAGTCCGAATGAAAAATTGTATGAGTAAGGACCGGTATCCCAGAAATGGAACGAGGCATTGAAAAGATCTCCTGTTGGTACACTACATAGCAAATCTAATATATTTGTTTGCTGTAGGTATATAAGCGACTGAAAAAAATATTATATATTTCATAAACCAGTCGAAAGATATGAAAAGTAACAATACACACCCTCAAAATTATTGGGTGCTGCTGTCTAATTTTTTACTCTTTGCACCAGGACGCTGAATCTCATCAAGTGAGATTATAAAATAGGAAGCAATAGATTAAGTTAATTCGATGACAAATTAAAAAATGGCGCTACTGGTATGTGGTAAATGTAACGGAACTTAATTTAAAGTCAACCAAAACTGAAAATTTCCAACTAGGAATGACTTACTATATTCAGATTAGTATTTGGAGGAAGTTGTATCATCGCTGAAGAAAATAATTCTGATGTCTTACATTGTCCAATCTTTTTCAGAGTACAGTGGAATGAAGACATTATTTTATTTCTGTGCAAAAATACAACAAAAATCATGTTAGGTAGCTGAAGACACTATTCCGGATATACAAAATGTGCTGTAGGGCCTGGTATTAATATTTGTTGATTTGAGTCAATGGAGTGGATGTATATTATATATGTTAGAGTTTTTTGCCATTTGTTAGATTTCATGACATCGTAATAATAAAGTTGTTGGTGTTTATATTTTCATGGGGAGACCGTGTAAGATATAGGTATTGATTTATGGCACTTTCAAGCGTATGAATGAACTAATTAATACCTTGCTAATACCCAACATCACAATAACGAATATTTTCTTTATGAATTATACATACATTCTACATAATTTTATTCTTATGCTTACTTGCATTGTCCAGGACTGTCGAATGGCCAGGCATCAAATATCTGATCAACACACGTCTTTAGTTGGGGAGCAAACGTTTTAAACACACAGTTCGGCAAAACTTCCACTTGTGCATCTGTGAAATCGAGTAAAAAACACGAATTTGTCAGAACATAGAAATTCAAGATCATTTGCAATAACCTTGTTTACGGCTGACTGCAAAGCGATGGCAAAAGCATTGAAAAGATGAAAAGCATATATATATTAAAGATATGCAAAATGTCAATATGATGACATTTATTACCATTTTCAATACACCGATAACACTGTAGGTAGATTTACCATCTACCACAGTGCCGAGTCAAAAACGTCTTTAATACTAGTAATATATATACATGAGACATATTGACATAACTAAAAGATATAATAAGAAATAATATAAATAAAAAGTTTTAGATAATATTCATTACCTGGCAGTTGAGATTCTGGCAACGTGATATTTGGTGGAGTATAATTCCCATAATTCCGAAAATAATTATAATCGTAATGGTATGAATAAAATGAGTTGCAATAGCTGTAAGAACAGCATGTCGTCTGACAGTCAAGTACTTTCAAATCTCCGACTAATTCTTTTGTGTTATTGCATCCAGAATTACATGTATTGCTGTCGTTACTGCAACTTGAAAAGGCTCCGACAGCTGCACAGATAAAAATATGCATGGATGAAGAAGTACAAAGAGCTGACTGACTGACTGACCCTCTAAGCCTGAGCAAACTATGGGCCGCGGCCAAAAACGGCCCCCTGGGTAATTCAATCTGGCCCTCGTGGTGCTGCCACAACCAAACTAAAACCAAATTTCGATGTTTTATCTAAGGAATTTGTTGGAGTTACGATTAAATTAGTTTTTGCGCAAGGCTCATTGTTTTTCTTATGTGCTTTGTAACACTGTAAATAAAATGTAACATTTTACTTCACACCCACATGGCCCACCAGTCTAAGTTGGAAAAACTTTTGGCCACCGGTCCCTTGCCCTGCTCTAAGCCATGTTTATTATAACAATAAGACATAATAGCAAGGCTTTAATACCTGGTTAAACAATTGTATTTATTAGTCAATTCATTCCTTGCGTAGCGAAATATATCTGGTAAAAAATTACAAACATATTTGGTGCAGTCTTATTTGGCGCGCGGAGTTAAGATGGGGTTTTTAATTTTATAAATTAAAGTGGAAGGTTTTCGTGATGTACAAATTTAATCCTGAGTTAAAAAAGATACTACCTGAACTAAATAAAATTTTATTTACTCACAGTGTGTTTTCTATTTTGTACGACATTTTTGAACAATTTTATTTCTACTCGTATAATTACTATATCCTACGAAATCTTTTTTATAATATTGCATTTGACTGTTGCTATATTACCTACCAGTGTTGTTGTATCCAAGCAATGATGGAAATTCCACAGTAACTTTCACGAGAGTTGGGGTTCGAATCCCACCGCATTGAGTTGTGTTTTGAGCATAATATTTCTGGTTGTTGCATACACGATATTGAAATCCCTCATAAGCATACCTGAAGTAATACGCTGTTGTCGTCTGAGGTATAACGGTGGGAGTAATGGCGAAATTGAACGGAACTGAAATACAATTGGAGCTGGTTAAAAATGAATATATAAATAGTTGATTTATTAAACCTGTGATGTGTATTATTATATACAAATGTCTAATTTTTTTTTAGTACATATTTCCTAACAAAAATGACGATTTTGTATTGAGTTTAAAACTGAGGTCCAGCTTGCGTTAAGAAATGATGTAAAAAAGAGCGATGAGAGGGTGGGATTAATTTTGAACTTTAAAAATTTCTAGTCTAAATCTATTTCTAAGCCCAAAATTGGAAAGACGATTATCTCCCATACAAGGTTAGTTTCACTTCACTTCCTTCGCCTGTGATGTGTATTTTTATATACAAATGTCTAATTTTTTTAGTACATATGTCCTAACAAAAAAGACGATTTTGTATAGAGTTTAATTTTGAACTTTAAAAATTTCTAGTCCAAATCTATTTCTAAGCCCAAAATTGGAACGACGATTATCTCCCATACAAGGTTAGTTTCACTTCACTTCCTTCGCCGCGTTAAAGTGCTCAAGTATATCAAACAATAAATTCCTACAGTTCAGTAGGAGTTTCATAAGTTATGCTTCATATCATTTTCAAAGTATTCCGCCTGAAACCAGAAATCTAAAGATAGCCGGTAAAGAAGCACAATTTATTCAGCAGAATTATATATGTGTCTGGTTAGACAGAAAGCATCCCACCAATTTGCTATTCTAGGGTGTGTAGACAAGAGGCACTGTTACACAAACCGCATCATTCAGTCAATACAAACAATTTTGGGTGCTTGTGCACGTCAGTACGCATTCATCGATCCCTCCGTCCTCATGGAGCAACATCACCATCCGGGCAATTTGCAATTACTGGGAGTGCGCGTACGGGCATATCGTTAGTATTCGTCCTGCGCTATTCTGAAATGTCTTGGTCACATTAAAATTGTCATCTATCACATGTTATTTTGAAAAGCGATTTTGCGTCATTTGCAGTTAGACACAAAATCGTACGTATATCTCAACACTATTTTCTTCCATTCGCTAGCAATCCACTAAAAACTGGTAACCCGGTGTTTTTGGCTTGTAAGCTTCATTCAAATGAATCAACGGATATAAATAAGGTGAGAGCGAGGTAAGTCTGGTAGAGATCATCATCAGGGTGCTTGTACCTAGACTTGGATTAAAAAAAATGGCCACCCCCCTCAAACATTTACGGCTGGCTACGCCCTTGCTATGTTAGTACCATAGAACCACTAAGCATCTCGAAAATTTAAAAATGGAAATAACTCACTGTAATTGTAGTTGAATAATGCGCTGACAATTGTCGTCACTGCTTGATTCACTTCATATTGAGATATGAATCTCCCTTGTGACCTAAAGCAATAAATAACAAAAACACATCAGCATTTCAAAATAAATAATTCTGTATATTTATAAAGCTGAAACTAAGGAGGCTAAGCTAAAAAGTTTTTAGATGCTGTAAGACATAGACATAATTACAGAGGTCCAAGAAAGTTCAAGAAATTCTATAAGCTCTTTTCACCCACATCGAGCAGTGGTTACCCTTTCATTATGCATACCTATGAGAAGGTTCCATTACATTTGAACCCACGTACATTTGAACCCATGACAATTGCACCTGTATGCTATTGCACCTATGGAATTTTTTTTGTTTCACGGATAGTTAAACCCATACTAACCCTAACCCATGGGTTTAAGCACCCGCATATAGATTGAACCCGTGGATATACGCATGGGTTGGAATGTACATGGGTTCAAATGTGCGGTCACCCTATGAGAAAATAAGCTATACACCAATGTCATATTTTGAGTAATTCTGCTGCTTTTTTACTACTTAATGGTTATTGCTTTTGATGCAATTTGCAGCAGAAACTGATTCCTAATGCTACACTGCTAACTAATCGCTTCTAAATGTTACGCAAGTAAACTGTATTACGGACGGTAGATTTACCTGGACAGTAACATGTATCCGATCCATATATCACGTGGATAATTGCCTACGCTTACTCCAGAATCAAGATTGTTCGTGCTAGGCGATGTTCTTCGTGGTTCAAAATAGGATAACGATTCATTACCCGACTGCAAAAAATAGATGATTAAGGTATTAGAAACAAGATTTTAAATTATAGAGGTCCCTTAGTGCAAGGATTCTCAAACGTTTGGTGTAATGGATAATGTGATACTTGAATTACTGCCTTGTTGGCATATTTCGACGCTACCGCCGTTGTCAGATTTTATTGATGCCATTATCGCTTCTATGGGCAGTTATAAATTAGTCATGGCAATATTTCAATAAGTAAACAAATAGCTCGCGGAGTTCCCGGTTTTCTCTTATGTAGCCCTGGGTTCCCGTATGGAGCATTGAGAACATAAGCCTTAGTGTATGCAAAAGTTACGCACTAACCTTCGAACAAGCAAAGAACACTTCACATATTGTAGGATCGCTGGCCCCATAAACTTGTGTAACGGTATATTTCACCGCAATACCATACATTGAAGCACTGCTATTGAAATAAACTTTGTTCCCGCGTCCATCCGCACCGGCATCACCTGTCACCTGCGTAATATTATTATCAATCAAGGTAAATTCATTAAACAAAATGTTTTTTAAATTCTATTTTGTAAATGTAGGTTCCCTGTGTTTCTGTGCACATTTTCATTTCAAACCTCATTTCAATTGATCGATGTACGTATAATTCATATTAAAAAACATTTTTAATAGTTGTTTTAGATTATTCACGACTCTTTATGAACCGATCATGTACTGTTTTAATTCATATGGTGTTTGTTAACACTGACTTTCCTATTTATTGCGTTGATAATTTAGTTAAACATTACATTTTTACATTACATTATTCTACTTACACGGATTGAAAAAGAATTTTTCGCGTAATTCGTATTGTTCACATACATCAAAGCAATGAATGGCCATCCTTTGTAACTGACAAATTCATATTCATATTCTTTCCTGTATAATGTGACAATGAAGTATAATAATTGAAAAAAAAACTGAAAACATTAAAAAGATATTTTGTTGCGTGTATTGGTAAAATGGGTGGTTGGTATATAATTTATGGCATTGTTTCTCTCTGGCATTCTGTTTTATATAATTTGTTTTATTGGCAATATCATGAAATTGCCAGTGCTGTATAGACGGAAAATACCACTGTAGGTAAAATATTCATTTCTGGATAACATTAAGTATACTCACAAATAGTATTGATCATAGACAATCTGCGGCCCTCCTCCATTGGTATTGATAAACACCTAAAAATGATCGAAATCATATTTAATAATTTATTATGAATATCTATATAGGGAAATCATAATGACACGTTGTAAGTAATATAGGGCAATGGCGCTGAAAACGAGCGAGAGTCTGAAATGAATGACTTCCTGTAATGGCTCTAAAAAGTGAGTCTGCTAGTCTCTAGAATATATAGAATTGGATACAAAGTATGCAAATTGGCGGCAACTATAGACATGATTATAAAATGATGTGATGGCGTGGTCTCAAATCTAATTTCTGTAAATATTGTTCGAATTGATTCTATTTAGACTCGATTTGTTGCAATTGTTCATGAATTTACCAGTACACTCTCTGTCTAGTCCCGCAATGTTTCCAAATTTATGTATTATACAAGTCAATGCTATGATACAACGGAAAAGACGACTAATCTGTATATTAGATATCGATTATTATATGTATACAAATTGTCGAACCATGTTTCCATTATCATACATGTCGTTTCCACCATCACCGATATACGTACTTCCATCATAATTGTAATAGTAGAAGTCATAGATTGTATTTCGTATTTCACTCATTCTGTCAACAATTCGGTTGATTGGTTGTCGAAGTTGACTGTGGACTGTAAATGGAATATTTAAATACCCAATATCGCTGACTGTGCTAAATTGAGTAGGTCCTTTTAAACACACATATCTCTGCGTTGATAATGGATTTTTCTTTAAAGTTTTTAAAGGTCTTGCGATATGCTTTGTAAAGGGTTGGGTATTGTATCCGATTGGGAAGTTGATGAGAATCAGAAAATATAGGAATCCACGGAAAATTAGTATTAATTAGTACATAATTATAGTCACTAACTATTTACCGGGTATTTCTGGAATTGATGCATTTCTTGATGTATTGTATGCCGTTGTATGAGGCGTAGGAATGGCTGTTGTGGAAACATTGGAATGGAGATATTCTATTGGTGCATATGGGAAGTTGAACGGAGCTGTAATAAATAAAAAATAAATTAGGACTTTAAAAATGTAATTTTGCATGTTTAATGTGGCGGACTGTTTTTTTGTTGCATTTATAAAAAAAATAGGTTACATGTAGAAATGCGTTTGAATAAAATTTGCAGTAAGAATATTACGATTTAAATATTTTGTAATCTGTCTCAGTGTATGGCGATATTTATATATATATTTATTTATTTTCTATTCAAACTTGATCAATGAAAGACCATACCCCACCACTTTCAAATAAAAATAGATGCTAACAATACACTATGAAAACAACTATTTTATTGTTCTACTCGAAACCGGTGGCGGTATTCAAAATTTTGACAATAGCTTCTCATTTTGTACTTTCTGCCTTTTTCCACAGTAGTAAATGACTCAATGAAGAAGCCATTTCCAACAGTTACTTCGAAAAGTGTTTATAAAACTGTATTTAGCTTATAAAGCTCGTATGCCATCAATACCACAACTAATAAAAACGAGAATAAACAGAAAATGACTTACGCGACTCGATCCTGCCATACAGTAAGCCGATCAACCTTTTCGTTGCTGTAAACACGTGGTATTGACTCATATACCTTCCGTCTCGACTATATGTTATGTTAAAAAAAGTTTCATTTTTTGTAAAGATTTGTGGTGGCCTTGAGGTGATATTAATAATTTCACTCAATGCCTTAGAAAACATTTCGCGGGTGGCAAGAAGCTACTATATGGAAGCTAAGCGATATTCCCGGTTAGGCTTAGTCCACCTACAGTAATAGAGCCTTTGTGTGAGGAGGTTATTGATCACAACGTCACTCACAAATAATAAAAGCGTTACGATTAAAATTACTAATATGAGATAAAGAATCACAATTGGTGGCTCATCAGAAAAAAAGGAAAGAAAACGTCAGAAAACCTGGTTTTTGAAAGAACGTCACTTTTTAATGCTGAATTTTGGAAACTGATCTTACACCTACTTAAAATATATGCCGATTTGATTGAGCACTCAAAAATATTCATAGTAATCATCTTTTTCTTGGATAACCACAAGCAATGAAGCAATACTGGTGTTAAATAGCGTGTTGGTTACTATTTGTTTCCTTGATATGACGGCTCGGTGATATGGAGCATTGTGCTAAGCGTTAGGAATACGCTTGCCAACGCATCTCTGACTACCCTGCGTGGGTTCGCAGTTTCAAATCCCATGCGGGGATGGTTATGTGCGGGAGGATTGCCGGACTCCTCGCCGCCGTAGGGTGGCCACGTAATCGCTGGTCGGTTACGGCTTCCTCTACCATCAAGTCCATGTTCCGAAAACAAATACCTAACTAATCCCATACCCGACCTGGACTGGTAAACGGACGAGAGGCCGTGGTTCGCCATATGATTAATTCGTTTTATCAGCTTCCTTCTACCCCGGGAGAAATCTGTAAATCCTATCCCATCCTATGAAAAGAGGAAACATAATCGGCCAATTTCACTCAGAATTTGACCGATAAAAAACGCCATGACGCATATCCATAGGAAACAACAATAATGATACTTTACATCAGGGTGGTCCAAGGTTGCGAGGTTGAAAGGCCGCAAAATTTTTTAAGGAGGTATCGCGGGCCGCAGTAGGAGAAAACCCCAAAGTGATCAAAACATCGCGAGTTTACTCATTTTATATATATTTAAGAATGAGAATTTATCGATCTAATCAGTTTTCCGAGGAAACTATATAAAGCGTTTAGTTATTTTAAAATTGCTTTTCGAGAAATATCGTGGTATTTTCGGCATCTTATCTTGTGTTTGGTTTTGTGATGTTGCTTAAAATTATATTCTTTTGTAACGGATATTACTTGAAACACACCAGGCACTATGGTTTAACAACATTGTTGTGGGCAAGGAAATACGTTTCCTCCCATTTACGGCGGTCACCTTTTTTCTACACTCATTGTATGATGAATTGTTATATTTGAAAAAATGTATTACTTGTAGCGTGAACAGGCCTAGTGCTTACATAAAAAAGCAACCCAGTCCGTCTGAGTTGGGACCTCGGACCTAAAGAATAATAAAAAATGAATCGGGCGGCGCGGAGCCATCTCGGCGGTTCGTCACTGCTGTCACATGGCCAACGCTTGAAAATTTAGAGGTGTTTTGACTAAAATAAAGACACAAAAAGGTTTCTTCAAATGAGGAGTTATTTCTTAACGCGAGCTCATCTCATCGGCTTGGTCTCGTCTGCAAGACAATTAATTATTCCTCTACCGATCACAGTACGACATTCTCATATAGGCATCGTTTGACGTTTATAGATACAACAATAAAATTGATTTAAAAAAAAAATTAATCCCGGGATTAGGAAAAGGAGTTGAAATAGTAAAAATAAATCAAAATTGTTTTGCTAATAAATACAATATCTGCCAATGGTTTAGTATTGTACGCTAAAATTGTTCTGCGGGCCGCGGTCCGCAATTTGGACCACCCTCCTTTATATTATTCAAAAATTACCTCGACAGCAACATATATCCAATCCATGCATCTTTTGGAGAATTGTAAATTTTGATACCGGACGCCAAGGAATCAGAGTCGGAGGTTTCTCGAATCGGATACGTTTTTGGTGGACCGGACTAAAAAAAACATCAGTTTTACTACTGTAATTCAAAGTTAAACCACAAATCGGACAATGAATTATTAGGTAAAATAGGTAATTACTCTTTACCGGCTTCACTGGGTATTGCAAAACCTAGGATCCACTAAAAACAGCCCAAATGTATTAAAATGTAACGCAAATGGGTAGAAAAATGTTAATTCGGTCGGTGACCGTACATTTGAACCCATGTACATTTGAACCCATGTGTATATCCACGGGTTCAATCTATATGCGGGTGCTAAAACCCATGGGTTAGGGTTAGTGTGGGTTTAACTATCCGTGAAACAAAAAAAATTCCATAGGTGCAATAGCATACTGGTGCAATTGTCATGGGTTCAAATGTACGTGGGTTCAGATGTAATGGAACCAATTCGGTCAATATACTGGATAAATGATAATATAGTCAATGAATATTATTTTCCCTGTTTTAATTGCGAAAATTATTCCAGGGTAATACATTCACGGGTAGCGTATCAATTGACAACGATTGGGGTTTAATAATTTATTTGGTTATAGCTAATTGGATGCAGAGGTATTTGACACACCTATAGTCACAATACATGATGTAATGCCAAGGTTACATATTAGTATGATGAAAGTACAATATATTCACCTGACTTGCAGCAAAGTACACTTGACATATAGATGGATCTTCTGTACCGTAGACATGTTCAACATAAATTGTTACGTAAATACCGTATACGGAGGCACTGCTATTATAATAGGCCACTGTGCCTCCTCCATCGGCACCCGCATTACTGGCAACCTAGTACATATAAAATATAGAGAATGAATAAATGTTTGAATTCAGTGGATATAGTTTGTTCTAATTATATATAATATATTAGTCTGATTAATTTGCCTATCTGCTTTCAAACCCTGTTTTGTCAGACACCACTAGTTTCATAGCCCAATTCCGTCAATCATTTATCTCTTTAAAACAGAAATTAATACATTATAAAAATAAGAATTTTTGTTTTGTTTGTCATAGAAAAGTCCTCAAATAAAAATATTAATTTGAATGTAAATTTAACACAGTTACTTCAGATTAGTTGCATCTCCGTGATATATTTTTGTCCTAATTAACTGATTATTATTTCTTGAATCGTTCCAAGTAACATAAACTAACAATAGGTTCACACAGAGTAGGTATATAACAAGATAATATTTGTACCTTCAGACTATAAAAATCGTATGTTGAGAACGTGTTGTTCACATAAATGAGAGTGATGAAAGGATGTCCAGTTGAACTGCTAACTTCATAGTTATCTTCGGCACTGTACAAAAATATATAAATTATTGTGGTTTTGTTAAGTTTTGATGATTTAGTGTTATATCTATATAAACAAATTCACTTACCGGTAATATTGACCATATCTTATTTGGGTCGGTGTTGTTTCTCCGGATTGAAAGGAAACCTGAGATATATAAAAATATAATATGAATAAAAACGTAGAATTAAGTTATGAAAATTGGCGACAATCTCAAATGATTATATTCTAATGAGATTTTTAACAACGCCTAGAAAGTTGTAATGAGTCTCACCTGGTTTCCACCATCGTACATGTCGTTTCCTCCATCACTAATATAATAACCGTTGCCATCGTAGGAATAGTAATAGAAATCGGGGACATTTGCTGCTATTGCCCACTTATTGGATAATACAAACGAATTTGCTCGTGCAATAGCAGATCCATCTTTGAATACAAAGTATATATGTTCCGTACAACTAAACATATCAATTATCCAGATGTTTTACTTGTGAAGAAGCGTTTCATGACATGTTTTATACATTTAGGGTAATTAATATTAGCTTACTCACATTATTAATTTAACCTTTATTTTATGGGGCACTTGACGAGTAAAGGCATTCCAGATGACATTGTTCATATTTTGTAAAATATGTGGAAAAAAGGATTTCAAATTTGAATTTGAAAGCGTTGAAATACATACAAATATTTATATAAATAATAGAACACTGAAAGGTGTTATTGAAATATCTTATATTTCATTAAGGCAGATTGTCGCAGCTGAGTAATGAATTGAATACCCTGGAGGGAGTAGGTAAGAAAACGACTGATATAGTGCTCCATAGTTGTCTCGTGGAAAAAGAGTAAAATTCACAAAGTGAAATAAATAATTGAAGTTGATTAAATAGTTATCTTATTCCATTGATTGCTAATTTATTGCTCCCCATTACCATTAATTTCGTTTTTTAAATCCACATCACTATTTGTTTAAATTTTTTTTTATATATAATAAATAATTTTCACTATTAATTCGCATGACAACAAAAGACCATCATATTTTTAACGACTACAGATCACATATTTTGAGAATCTCTTCATTTTAAGATTTTTGTATTAAATATGCCATCTTTTAGTGTTTAAAAAAAGTTACAGAAAGTAATGTACAAAAAGTAGATTAGGTAAATAAGACAACTTGTTACATCAATACTAGTGGCATAGAGTATATGTCTTACCTGGTGGTGTAGTGAAGTTTGTGAACGGGGGACCCGTTGAGTTCATGTAACTGTCAGTATCTTGATAAATAAAACAACAGTTAAGTATGATTGTCACTTAGCATAACAGAAGTTTTCTTGAAAGAGTTTTATTATGTTTTACTCAATTAAATTGGAAATTTTAAGCATACTAAAACTGGAAAAGGCCTTCTTCCTACTTTACTTGAGTTTTTAGTTGTGAAACATTTTATTGCCACTATACATGGTGACCCGTAACAGACCAGCTCAGTCACAACTCATCTACGGCGTATTTGAAACCAATGTTATATAGCAGAGCCACAACGTGATAGTAAACGTAGAATAAGTCACTCAAAATTACATTTGTAATATATTTATTTTGATCCACAGTTAATGATTTTTGAAATCTAGTGAATGATAAAAAAAACTCACAATTTTGTGTATATGGTTTCGCTGTTGTTTTCGAATGCCCTAAAATGCAAAAACCAAGAAAATAAATATTGAATAGCTCTTGATTTTTTTACGATACTAGAGTATTTGTAGAATTGAAATTAAATTCGCTCAAATATGAACTTATTGAAAATTTTGAAAGTTTTCTACTGAGATGTTAATTAAAATGGCGATTGGGAAAGATAGCCATCTCTATGCCCAGGGGCTGGGGAGTATCGAGTCAAATGACTCGCTTGATCATAATCTCAATGTGATTTATATTTATTCATTTTTAGCTGCGACTCGACTTGGGACTTAAAATTGCAATGACTCGACACGACTTGGAAATGGGACCTTAATATTTTCTGCGATACGGACTTGACTCGAAATTCGGATGACCTGTGACTCGATTTGACACGAACCTCGAGGTTTAAGGCCTGTACATAACATTGTCAGTTTTGATTTGTTGGGCATAATCTATATTTTGAGCTGGAATTTGTTTATCGAAAATTGTAATAACAACAGGTGGGTGAGGATATATTGTCCCTAATTGATGATGAATTCTATGTTGTGGTTAATTTGTGATCCCTTCTCACAGCCCGTGATGTTTATTTTGGCGCAACTCTTGCGGTAACACACCGTTATTTTGAAAGTCAACCCCCCGATAAACTCCAACTCTTTCCGTTTAAATGACTCACTTCACTTTGAGTCGTTGAAAAATTCCCTCTTTCAATAAGAAAACGTTTCCTGACGAAACTTCATAATGTATTAAAAATACTCATATATGTTTTGACAAGATCGTTCTTAAAGGCATTGGAAGCACCAATTGGATTACTTCGTCTTTATTTTTATTTGATTTCCATTTTTCTTTATTATATATTAAATGTGCCAATGAATCCACATTGGGAAGAAAAAAAATGGTAGTCTTTGGCGAAAAACTTTACAACGAATAACGTTACAATAAATAACGCATGAATATCTGTTTGATGTAGCGCAATTTGTTTGCACATCAATATATTTTCATATAAAGTCTTACCAGAGGGTTTTGTAGCTGTAGTTGTAATTGTAGTTGGCTTTGTAGTTGTAGTTGTAGCTGTAGTTGTAATTGGCTTTGTGTAACTGGCAGTATCTGAAGAAAAGAGCAGCTAGGTGACTGCTCATCTATAACTTAGAATTGAAGCAGCTAGGTGACTGCTCATCTATAACTTAGAATTGAAATATTGATATCTGGTAAAAGCAAAACTATGGTAGTTGGAACAAAGTTTAAACTACTCAACGTTATTGTTAGCATAGTTTTATTATATTCATTTTGATCGCTGGTATGAAGTTTAAAAAATACTTACAATTTTTTCCATGCGGACTCCCAGTTTTATTCAAATGCACTAAAAAGTGAAAACCAAGTGAATATTTAATCGTTTTATACACTATACCCGTAAAAGTACGACATTACAAAGAATTTTGTAGGAATAAAACTACATTTTGTAAAGTTGTTCAAGTGTAACACTTATTGGAAATCAGAAGCATACTGCCTATATGGCAGCACACAGGCAGAAGCCTACAGTTGGAATGTTTCTTAAGTGATCATAGATTTCATGGTATGGTTAATTATATAATATGCATTTTGTGGTTTCTATCACGGTGCCACTTCCAAGAGACACGAAAGATAGTATGCAATACCGTAAAGTACAGAAATTCATCTGGTTGAAGGAATAAATATTAATATACACTATTCACCGCGCGTGTTGTTTTTTTGTCGCTATTAATTTTCCATTTCAATAAAGGAACATTTTATGACGTCGCCTACTAGTATATTAAAAAACAGGTGACCGTACATTTGAACCCACGTACATTTGAACCCATGTGTATATCCGCGGGTTCAATCTATACGCGGGTACTAAAACCCATGCAGGTGCAATTGTCGTGGGTTCAAATGTACGTGGGTTCAAATGTACAGGAACCTAAAAAACAGTAAATGTGAATTTATATCGTTGGGTCGTTTTTAATAAGCTTTGAAATTAAAAGAACTTTGGCGGAATCTCCGTATTCAAACATTGTATTAACATCATAGTACTCGGATGAAAATTCTATGTAAGATTAAAAACTCACCCCAATTAGGCGCAAATCAAGTACCTATCTATGGTTCATCCCTAATCCTCCTATGATTATTGCTGTTAGATACAAGCAATAGAGTTGGGGGAAAATACACGTGATCTCATAACTAAGCTAAGCAAACACAGATAGGAAAGCACCCATGGAGGAATGTCAAATGTTTTGCGATAGTGAGAAAGCTCCTATTTCATTGTGTCGTTGACTGAAAACAAGTTAGGATGACATTACCTAATACAATGAAATACTGACATAATAAAAACACGTCGTGATTTTATTGACGACAAAATATTTTTATACGAAAGACGCTTACGGCAGATATTTTGATCTTATTGCGCGTTTATTGAGTGTTTTCGAATGATTGTATTTAAAAAAAATTCAGATCGTGTAATATTTTTGAAGTCCTTATTTAAGTAGCCTAACCGCTTCATGTGATTGCTGACGGATGAAAATACTTGAAGTTTATTTTCAACATCTGCGCAGCTTTCCTATGTATTTATCACGCTTCCTTGTTGTTTATGAGCGAGAACAAAAAGTACCAATACCAACCCACCGAAATGACTAAACAATATTTACAAATTCAAGTCAAGTTGAGAACTTTGGTAAAATTATTCATCTTTATTAAATTTCGAAATCGTATTCAACTTCTATCTGTTTTTTTTCACAAGCGACACACACACGCAGGACTAAATAAATCAATTTTTCTTTGAGTAAATCACGCAAACTCACACAAACTTTTGAACAAAATATTTCTATTACCTCAATTGAAGCAAAACATGGTCACGTGTTTTTACCTCAGTTTTGCACTCGGGTTGATGTGTTTAGATTAAACATCTTATTTTCCAAAGTCATGCACTCAGTGAAAGCGGAAAATTAAAAATACAATAATAACAGGACCAACGAAACAAAATGTAAAAACTATTATAATCAAAACATGGTTGAGATTGGCAAATTTAGAAATAAGAGATCTTTCAAATGAATTATATTTTTTGTTGTTGTTGTTGTTTACATCATCGATTCAAACCAAGTCTCGCGATAAATTCAGTACTGATGTTCCGAAATATGATTTTTTTTCTCTGCAAACATAGCCCATATATTATGTACGCTGAACAAACTAAATTTTAAACCCTACATCTCTCATCTATGTTATTTTGTTATTTAGAACAAACAATTTTGAAAAGTCCCCCAGTACAGAAATTAAAATGAAACAAATGTTAGGAATGACAAAACTTCAAAATTATGACTTACTCGGTGGTGTCCATTCTGGGCCTGTTCAATGGAATAGAAAAAAACATATTTTTTTTTTGGCACTTCTAATTCCAATATGACCGAAATTTAGTTAAGTTGAGTAATTATTCATTCAACAACATAATTCGTTGTTTCAAAAGTACTTTTGTCGCATTTTCTCAAACTTTGCATCAAAATGTTGTGATAGGTAAAAGAAAAACACACGAAAATATATAAGAAGTAATTCAAGCAAATACAGCAAAAGTTAACAAACCTGGTGTACCAGTCGCTCCATCGGCATTGTTTGCTAAAAAAATTGATGAATCATTATAATTACAGAAGTACTTAAATCATTAAAATGATATCAATGTAATTTTATCAGAAAACACTTTTATGACCTGACACTGACGATCTGATTAATAACTGAACATCCTGCTTGTGCAATTACATTTAAAAATTCCCATTTCGTTTTCAAATACTCAGAAACTTATACAAGTATCGACTTACGAGGTGGCGTCCATTCGGCCTCTGAAAATATCAAGAAAAATGATAAATGAATGCTGCTGAAGATTTGATTACTGACTACTGAATTCCATTTTTCTTTGACTCTTTATTGAACAAGTGAAATTTTAAAATTCATATTGAAAATTAAATACTCTATTTGGGTTTATTTATAAATGCGATTTATTAAAATAAGACTCTGAGACTGAGAGGGAATGAACATAAAATTTTTCTTACCTGGTATAGCAGTCGCTCCTTCGTTAATAACATGTGCTAGAGACAGAGCAAACAAATAAAATAATTGGTTTCAAGTCCAATTAACGAGGGTCGTATTAATAAATTACTTGGACAGAACTGAAATTCAAAATGGCCTCGAATTTTGTAAGTCTTCGAACAACCTCAAGTTTACAAGAAGAAAAGGTAAAAAAAAAAACGTACGGGACGTTTTTAATTCGAAGCATGGAATAACTTTATTTGAATGAAACCACTTAGAAATGCTGATTTAATGACATATTTATTATATACAGTATATAAACTTACGCGGCGGGCTCCATTCTGCTTCTGGAATAAAATTGCTTTATTTATTTATATACATTTGTTGTCGCATACATGATTCTAGATTGATTAAAGATAGCTGTTCTATTCGTTTATTTGAAAATCATATTAAAATGTGAGGTAATCCAATATTTGAGCTTTTTGAAAATTCAGTTACCAAGCGATTCGTTTCCAACAGTTTTAATTTATTGTGATTCATTATGAACATTGGCAATGGCATGAAAGTTGGCATTTTCTGACTCTACCTCTATTTCCTATGACCTAAAAAGTCATAATTTTGATTTGAAAAGCTACTCTGAAGTTCTTAAATGAACCACAGAACCGCTAGCTGTAACGTTCTAATTAGGCAATTAAAATTTCAGAACCCCCTTCCGTAGAAAATTCACTGAGTACGATCAAACGAAATACCAATAATAAAACATTTTTCGTACCTGGTGTTCCTCCAGGTTCACCGATTGCTAAAACGACATTAAATAAAATTACACATAAAAATAGGTTCCCGATGGTGTAATAAACACCGTCTCGTAGAAGGAATGACTCTCCCCATTTACCCAGAAGAATCTTTCGTGGCGTGTGAGTAAGAAATAAAACTATTAATATATCGAGCATCAGTATCAGATTGTGTCTAAATATTACAAATACTATATCATGGTGTTATGAAAAAGTTGAGTAAATGCGTACTATTTGATTTAAAATTTTTGTCCATGGTTTGTAGCAGACGGAAAGAAAAGTTCCGACAATTTTATTTAGGAAAAAAACAGTGATATTTTGTTTCGTCGATGAATATATATATTTTCTAATATCCATGATCAAAAAAGAATACGGAACAGCCAAAATGAAAATATATTACTGGATGAACTTACGCGCTGTGGTCACTAAAAAGAAGAATTAATACGTAAATTATATATATATATATGTTATGGGGTGATAAATCGAGGGATGATTCTTTATGTTGCACGCTATTTGAAGCTAACTTGCTCACATTAAAAAGTATATGAGTGCATAATTTAGCATAAATACGTATGCACATGCCATATATTTTAAAACATTAATGAAACTACCCATCACTCCTTAAGGAAAAATCGAAAAGTACTTCAGGAGTTAACAATTAGCATACAAGACAGGAACCTTCAGACGGGTAACATATTTCACAAGCAATGAAGATTCAGTTATTCAGAACAACAGGAATTTAGTATAGATAATTGAGAAATTTCAGTTCATGTGTAATTATTATTTTTTTTTCGAATGAAAATTACAGTTCCATATATAGTTTCAACAGAAATGTCGAATCATGTTATGTTTAATCATGTTTTTTTTTTTTGCTTGGAATTACTGAAGACATTGACAATATCTTATTTCTAAATAAATGTTTACGTTAATTGGATCAACCGAAATATTTATAAATACTGTGCATATATATTAAATATTAAAACCTGGCTCACCATCGGCAGCTGTGAAAACAAAAACAAATCTTAAGTTGAAGAAGGTATTGATGTGGAATTATAAGTGTTTACGTGGATTTTCAAATGGCCTGAAGTAAATGTTGTTTATCAAAGTAATTAAATTCATGAAACAACGTTGTCTTGATTAGAAAATGTCGTTATATTTACCCAAATCTTAGTACCATCTATTGCACCGTAAAACAGAAAAATAAATGTCAAATTCAAGTGCAATTGCTTGCTGTACAGCAATTTCCCAGGCAAGAGTCGTTTATTTCATCATTTATTAAATCATAAGACAAATTTCAAATACTAAAAAAATACCATTTTGACAAACAATATCGCGCTCCAGAATTATGTGTACCAATGTGGAGGTAACTCATTTTGTTTGCCTACTTTACATCAAGTTGTGTACAGGGACTGAAACCTATGGGCATGGGGTACGTTTATTCACTTTAGCTAACACAGGCAGTCCCTGAACTCGTAATAGAACTAAAATAGGGGAAATCGGAATAAAATTATGCATGGCCTAACTCGTAACCTGGTACACACACTACGGGAGTACCAAAATATATGTATATATTCAAAGTAAAACTGAAATTTAAAAGCTAAACATTTATTTTATATATATATTGAACTTATATATCCTTGGAATTATCGAAGTATTTGAATTTCGAATATTATAGAAATGAAGTATAATGGGAAAGTGGTGTTTTTGATTTTTTTGTTCAAACATAAGTGGTGCTGTACTTAGAATCGAGATTAGGATAACAAAAGTTTTCCAAATCTGTATTCAATTGAATAAAAATAAAGGTATTTACTTAAATCATTTGTTCAAACTGAAATGCAAATTGAAGTGGAACTAGTATTTTACATTCTATTATAAAAATGCTCGTGGAAGATTTGAGTAATCCCCTTTTAATGAATTTCGGAGTCGTAATGGGATGCATCGTGAAATATATAAAATAATGTATCGCGTATTTCAAATATATATTCATAATCTAAAATTTAAAAATTTGACAAGACTGGTGTGATTTGCCAGTTTGGCTTTGGGAAAATTTTCTGGAGTATGTTTGAGTATTATTTTTTCCGGGTTTTGCTCAATTTACTTTCGAACATAATTTCTAACTGATAAAGCTGTTTTTTTAGTATAAAACCTTTTCCATCAAAATGCCTACAACGATTTTTAAGTTATCGCGACTCAGTGATTTTCATGGCCCAAAAAAGAAAAAAAAATCAGTAAAGAGTGCCGTTGTCATCCACACACGAAACGCTCGACTGCCCTCAAACACTGTTTTTTTTAACGGCGATATTCAACCTAAATTAACAAATCATTCTATGTGTCACGCAGCAATACCGATGTTAAAATATCTCTACGTTATATTTTTGTGATTATTAATGGTTGTTTATTTTTTAAATTGCAGCTCCATTGACGACACGGCTCGAAATGTCTTTCCAAGAAAAGACCAGACACGTTCTAGCGATTGTACGGAATGGTGGCGTCAGCTTTTGTAAAATTGAAATGCAATTGAGGCGTGAAACACTAAATTTTAATTTCGAATTCAACCCAATTTCATATTTTTGCGAATTTTGTGCAGTGCACACTAATATTCCTAACCAGCTTTCCAATTACTTTCAATTTCAATCATTTACAAAAGGAAATTCGTCGCTGTTTAAAATATATCTTTATTAGTGAACAGGATATGGCTGTCATTTCCGCGAAAAGTACAAAAAACATTAAGTAATATATCAGGCTGGTTATAAAATCAAAGGTTTTGAAGGCTTTACCGCAAAACATCATCAAAAGAATTCACAATATTTTTATTGAGTTTTGAATAATTCTTGACTAGAGCACGCCATTTTGATTTACATCAAATTAAGTAGCCTCCAGAAAACGTAAAATAAATGTTAAATCTACATTATATAAAATATGTATGATCTTTTCGAAATTATGTTGCCATTAACACATAATAAAATGATAATTTTCTTACCTGCTAGTGCTTTGAGAATCAAAAGAGCGGCAAATATCTTCCAATATATAATCATTTTATCATTAGCATAAAGGCAAGTGAAGTACTGGAATAACAAAATGATAATAGTTCGTCGTTGAATCTTAAAAATTTTAGCTCAGCTTTACGAAAATATTAGCCCAAATGTTTATTATTTCGTGGTGTTGAAATGTGGACTAACTTGTGTTAGCCTAAATTTGGCTCCAATCCACAAAGTCAAGAAAAAAATCGACCTTAACCACTAATTGATTTTATTTGAATTTATATATATATTCCATTCTTTCGCTGGATTGACATTACTGTTCCATAATTTAAAACCATTAATTCGCTTTAATTTTAACTCTTTCTCTGACCCGAATCGAGCTCACGACTTACGTCACTGCTGCATGCGAAAGTTAACCTGCATCAATCTGGCAAAGCGAGAGGAGATCCATATTTTATATAGAAATTTTATAGAAAAAGAGAAAATGTTGAAGATCAAATAAATAATCTAAGGCTTCCAATTTGTTTTCATCGGAGTTTGATGATCAAGTATAGGCGAGTACGGACCTGTAGCTCCTCACGACTAATCGTATTCTTAATTTAATCTGACCCCCCACGGTCATGTGCCACTTTATTTATAAAGCGGACTGAACAAAGAGATATTTGTACGAAAACCTTTTTTAGTTGAAATAAAAAAAAATCATTTACCATTGTATGAATTTAAAAAGTCATGCGCATTTCAACTGCTCTTTCGAGCCTTCTTTTGTTTTTGCAAAATACCACGAAGTTGTTTGCGCCGATTTTGGGGTTTCGGAAAGTACCGAATGAGCGATTATGGTGCTCGCACGTGAAGATGTCGTAATGAAACCTAGCCAGAAAGTTGGGCTTCTCTATGGTATAATTAAACGACAAATATCAGATCTTACAATTAATTTATATAGACCTATGTAAGACCAGATTCTTAGCCATCATCATCATCGCCATTCCTACCTCTCTATTAGTAATAAATAATCTTGCACTACGAATCGATTTCATAATAATACATAAACGTCCTATGCTACTTACTACCCTTCTTCCCGAAACAATTATATCAGCCATGTACACTATAAATTCTGATGTTCGTTCATTTCACGTGAGTATTGTTCAATGCCCAAAAACCCGATAGCTCGTTTGTACGCTTCGCCAACCATTAACGTTTCTCCGTACCGACGAACAAAAGATATTTATATATGTTGGGGTCTTTGGGAAATGCCTGTACGGCGCGCTGTGAAGCGTGTGATCATTGAGTGAAGGTTTAACAAACCGCTTCAGTGCGACATATTTCTGTCTCATAATATACGAATATACCGTATAAGTCGTTTTCAATCAATAAGAATAATTTCAAATTTATTCGATGAAGTATGACTTGAGGAAACAGAGTGATAACAATTTGATATACAAATATAAAGTAAATTTTATCTTTTTTTAATATTATAGTTTGAGTTAATAATTTCATTTTTGAACTTTTTTTCGCAGAAAAACTCAGAACTAAAAGGTGTCGGTGGGCATACGATGAAATATATTTCATACGATGTTTTCACGCCTTCACCCTGAACGAGGTTCTATGCAATAACAATTGGGTTCTTTCCGTTTACCTTACCCCATTACCTATCCTATTTTTGACACACTGGCGGGCATCCACCCATGGCCATTGACAAGTATTATAAAATGGCGGCTTTTCATTGCATGTCTTATAGATTAAACCCTGGCAATTATGTTTTAGATAAAAAAAAAAACTGCATTTCCTATTCCCTATCACCCAACCAGAAATTTTCTATCTTCACCGTCTGAAGCAATTAAGGTCGAAATATGCACTAGCAATTATCCATTACCTTGGTAATTGCCTTACTTAAAAAGGTATAAAATATTTCATAAAAATTAAACAACAAAACACAATGTCAAACTGTCATAGCGTTGTGTTGATACTTCAAAGCATTGATTTTCAGAGTCGCAATCCAAACAGAAATTTCCGAGTCTGAATAAATTAAATCAACGCTTCTTCGACATGAGCCACACCCTATTTTGGAATCGCATGTTTGGATATTCAGCAAACATCGTTCTTTTGTGCATTTGCATTTTATGTGAGGGCACACTGTTCTTGGAATTTTCGCTTGCGTATAATCGTACTTCTCAAAAACTGTATTGTTCGTATTATTTGTTTCATTTTCAAAGATAAATAGAATTAAAATCTAGGCCTATTCAATAGTGCCATAGCTAAATTCCAAGAATATGACCAACGTATAAAGATCATCGAATGGTTGCGATCATTCTTCTATAGGTTTTCGATTTCGAATTAAAACCATAACCATAACCATAACCATAAACTACAAATATTAACATTAATGGTTCGGATCTATGGAAAGCTTTTCGTTGTAATAGTTGGTTCCATTACATTTGCACCCACGTACATTTGCACCCGTATTTTGAACCCACGACAGTTGCACCTGCATACTATTGCACCTATGGACATTTTTTTACGGATATTTGAACCCATAATAACCCTAACCCATGGATGTTAGCACACGCATATAGATTGAACCCGCAGATATACCGATGCAAATGTATGGGTTCAAATGAACGTGGGTGCAAATGGACGGTCATCTAATAGTAGTATGTCACATTGCTAGTGTTAATGGAATATGTTTTTTTGGATGATAGTTGAATCAGTCCAATCTACGTCAGTCTAATCTCAGTCTGCGTTTCTTTCCTTCGAAGAACATTTCATACCTATTTCAATGTCTTCAAATATGTTGCTTTCCTGAACGATCATCAAATTGTAAAACTAGCGAATAGTCGCGAATAATTTTAATAGCGAGGATTACTGCATTACTAAATATGAGTTTCTTTTGAGTGCTGTTAACGAAATGACAACAATTTCACAACAATATAATGGAAGAATGAGAAAAACAACAGACTTAATAAATACATTACCTTTGTTAAAGTTTAAAAATTGTGGCTTGGTACCCCTGGTAGTTGTAAACAACTTCATCGCGTGTGTTGCGGACACACTGTCGGAGTAAATGTTGCCATACAGATGGAAGGGAGACTATCATACTAAGTTGTAATCTTACCCCGAATGAACAACAGGCGCCAGCACTGAATGGTATTTGAGAATGTTCTGTCATATTGCTGGTTGAGAGTATGGCAATTTCGCCCACGCGGAATTCCAACAATGTAAGATTAATGTATTTATAACAACGTTGGAAAGTACCTCAACAAGTAAAAAATAAAAAACAGGTAAAGATAATATAGCTCAAGTGAAGCAGAAACGAAATTACAATGCACCAAATTCGCGTGAGATATTAGTTTTGTGCTTTTTTAAATTGAAAAAAAAAAAAAAATTGTTCTTAAACATGGGGGTATGATATAAAATTTAAACATGTAAAAACTGCATGATGTTAAGTTTTAGTGGAGTAGATATTTGCTATCAATTAGGTTAGAACAAGAGAAACGTTTATAATTCTGGCGCGCGTTGCCATAATTTGTCGTAATGTACTAATTCATCCAATACAATGAAACGTGTATTCAAATTAAAACTAGTTATAATATTATCAATTAATTTTGCGGAAATTATTCATACCGTTCAAAATGTATTATTTATAAATTACCATATGTAACTACATGGGTATAGATACAAAATATGAGGTTCGGCTTTGTCGAGATATTGGAGGTTTGTGAGTTGAAACATTGATAATATTCATGTCATGATACAGAACTTCTGTTGTTTAGTGAAAATTTACACATAAGTTTTTGGATATAATAAATTTTATCGGAAAAAACCTACCCGCCTAATTAGACCACATTATACAACTGTACCATAGCGAGGCTAATTATATCATTCTGATCAAATTATTAAAAATTATCTGAATATGAATAAATTACCACGCCCTCCCGAAGAATTGCCCGTTCCTTGGTATTCCTTAAGATACTATACCATATTGATAAAGAAATTCAGGTCTAATAGTATAACAGTAAATTTATTAAATATTTTTATAGGCTAAACGCAAATTCTGTTCATTCTTTATATATATGATCTTATTGATTTTTTTGCCATTCTACGGAAAACTGAATCAAACACTTAGACTGCAAGACGACTTCTCAAATTATTTTTGTAAACTATAATTGAAGCTAGAACGATATGAAATTTGATGGCTGATGCTATACCTGAATGTGGATATTGCCCAGGTCATAAATATGATTTTTATATTTATAAATCGCAAATCCTCTATATGAAACAAAATAATATGCGTGATAAATCATGAGAAACATATATCATTTTTGGGTGATGTGGTTATTTCACGCGGATGCTTAACAGACGAATATTCGTACCAGTTAATATAATTTTCTGATATTAGATAATATTGGACCATTAATCGACCTAACTACCTTAACGATGAAAATGTTCTATGCATTTGATCTTTATTTTACTTCCCAGCTCAAGATCGACATTTTCTCTCGAACTCTTGAAAGTTAATGAGTCGGAATCCATATACTATGACTACAACATTTTCGCCCAAATTGTTCAAGTTCAAAACATTTTTGCAGCCGGAATTTATAAATATATCCTACAACACTAATGGAATATTCAAATTTGGTTGTCGGTAAAGGATTTTCTGGATTCCGTTTGGGTATTATCTTTAGGGTTTTGCTCAATTTACTTCAATAGATAAAACCCATATTTTTGAATGAGCTAACCAGTTTCATCAACAAAATTTATAGATGCTTATATATATATAAGTTCAAAAACGTTGAAGAAATTTCAGACAGAGCCAAGTTAAAAGTAACCTGAAACAACGCATATTGAATTATCCTAGAACCATAGGTCTTTGTAAAGTTCCTAAATATATTGGGAGTTGAAACATTTTGCAACGCACCGTTATAATTAGTATATATATATAATTTAATTATAAAATAGATGATAGAGTTGATTTTTGAGAAGTTTCAAATTTTGGTTTTCAGCCTCTCAATACTAACATTCAATACTGAAATATACTAATACTAAACTTAATCAGCGTTTTCATAAAACGTGTCACTCCATACTCCTGAATATCATCTCTCACGTTTTTTTTATATTCAGAAAACATCTTACTTTTGTACATTTGTAAAAAATTCTTCTTTGGGAATTTTCCCTAGCATAAAGATAATCGTATTTTTTGAGAACTGAATTGTTTGCAGTATTTGATTTATTTTCAAAAAAAAAAAATCGAATTAAAAACTATTGGAGTAACTTGATTTTCAATACGCAACAATATCATCTTGACTGAGTGCAAATAAATTAATGTGGTTGCGATTGTGTACCTTTTCGTTTTCAATCCCAAATTGAACTTGAGACATCTTGTAGTTTCCCACTGTATCAGTACTATATTGAATTGATAATTCAAATTTTTTCCTGAATGAGATTAGAATCATCGAATCTAAGAACATTCCATGGCAATTTCGTGAATTTACATAATAAAATATGTAGCATTCTAAAATATGTGTTTTTTCTTGAACAATGGGACAACTGCAATGTATGAATCGCGGCTGATCGAGAATATTTGCAAATGATTTCTAAATGGGGACGGTGAGGTTTATTACAAGAATTACTAAACAAAGATTTTATTTTGAACTTAATATGAGTTTTTTCTGTTTTCTGTTAAAAAAATCACGTGCGATTATCACTTAGTGTAACTGACAAATAACAAAGCGCCCGTAAAAATTATATGGGTATCGGTAAGCTTGAAAGTCAAAGACAATTTGGTCGATATTTGTTGAATAAGTTTATAAATTGCCGGAGTCAATGTCACCACACATATAGATAGAAGAATATCATACCTACTAAGTTTTAATTGATAATTTAAAAATAGGATCTTACTTCAAAAAATTGGCATTGGTACTGCATAGTATTTGAGAATATTCCGCCATATTGTTGTAGGTTATCTAGGTATGACGATTCCGCCCACGCGGAATGTAGGATCAATGTAGGCTATTGATAAAAAAAAAACATTGGAAAGTACCTAGAAAACAAGTAAAAAACGTAGAATGCGACAAGAAAAGCGAAAACTAAATAACCTGATATATCTTGAACAGTTACGGAAGGTGGCTCAGTATTGGGTTTTATGCTTTTTTAACTTCAAAAACAGCTAGTTTTTTGGGGTATTACTGAAAATATTTGATACTTGAAATAAATCAGGTTAAAACAAGGGAAAAGGCCAATCGACTACTTCACATATTAGTTTCGCAAATCATAATTGAACATTATGAAACTTGGTATCTGAATGTCTTAATACACCTGAATGTCTTAAAACGCAAAAATTGAGTTTTATCATTTATAAATACACATCCTTTATGTAATATAAATTTTGTAGCGAAGATTTATATTTTCTATTTTCTGGTGTTGTTGATTTGTCTTGTTGGTTATTTTCCGAACAGTTTATATTCAACCCAGTTATCTATGTGGTCTTACTAGTGAACTTACTACTAAATTATATTAACACCATTGGCCAACCTGTCTACCTTAGCGATTAATTTGTTCTTTTTCGATACTTCGTAGCTCAAGAGCGACATTTTCAGTGGAAGTCATGGAAAGGTATCAAGTTTCAGAATCTCAATAGTGAACGACTACAACACCTCGCCCAAACCGTTCAGTCGACCACTGTAATGTAAAGCCAGGCGGAACTTCAGCCAGAATATTATGACGCGTTGGATACAGTTTTTCCACACATTTAGTTCCACCCACGTTGGTTCCACCTGATCGTTAATAAAATAGATTAATAAACTATAAACGCATGACGGAAAGACCACGCTTTAAACACAATAAAGTATTTTTATTTCAAATATTTTTTGATATGCCAACAAAACGATCAATGATTCTCCAGGCATTCCACTAATGACAAACTTTTAATTAATATAAATATTATGGAAATCCACTCATTTTTAAATGTTCCATACAATAGAAAGTATTGAAATACGATTTAACAACATCACAGTCACTTTATCTTATTCGGTAAATATTGGCTAGATTCTTTGTGTAATTACTAATTGATTTACTTTATTTTCTATAGTATTCCTAATGGAAGTACAAACTTTATAATAACAGGTCAGTGGGCATCTTGTCATTTTTAATTCGTGTTCTTTAATTTGGTTGAATGTAGTAGTAGGCTATATATTTACGGTTAAATACAGTAAGAAATGTACTTTCTACAACATCCTTTCATTGAATACAACATTATCATGTATAATCCTGTAGTATTTTCACTCTATAACTAATTCCTATAAAAATATGCCCATTGATCTTGCTACAGTACCTCTTCGATTATACTATACTTATTTTCAAGCATGTAAAAAATATAGCCCTGTATATCTATTGCATTTAAATGTGTTGCAGAAAGCTCGGCTCGGCGGTGTGGTGCATCGTGTCAAGCGTTGGGAATAAGCTTGTCACCGCAGCTCTGATCGCTCTGCATGGGTTCGCAGGTTCGAATCCCGTAGGGGGTGATTATGTGAGAGGAGATTGCTGGACTCCTCGCTGACGTATTGTGGTTCACGTGATGGCTGGTCGGTTCAGCTTCCTTCACCATCAAGTCCATGCATCTGGAACAAATAACTGGCTAACAAACTAATCTCATACCCGACATGGACTGGTAACCAGATAGAAGGCCGTGATTTGCTCTATGATTAAGCTGACTTATCTGCTTTCTACTCCACCGAGATAAATATGTAACTAAATCCTAACGATATGATAGTAACTCGATGATTCGATCGCCGGATTTGTTGCTGCAGACTCGGTACCACTCAACGTGCTGTTTTTCGATTCTTCCATAGTTTACTAAGATTCTTGACTGTGTCCTTATTGCTGTATTGTGAGTCGACGCAGCTCTCGTCTTCTTCTTCCCACCAGCATTCAGTACAGTGTGAGTGGTGCAGTGTTTGCAACGTGCCGTACCGTATCCTTCGACATTATTCAGTTTTGTCAGTCTGTGCTGCGCACCAAACCGTGTGGTCGCTGATCGGGCGTAAAAGGTGGACCTGTAGGCCGTAGGGTAGGCTACGTTGTCGCTTTTATTGCTCACTGGCTGACTGGTGTTGTTGACACTGATATAATTTGAATTAATTGTGCACAATAAATTAAACTGTACTGGTACCAAGATATTCTAACTGTTCCACCGTTCAGCGATAAAAAGGATGACAAAGCAGACACCTCTAACATGCAGTGGCCATACTCGCCCTGTCGTGGACTTGACTTTCAGCGATATAACTGAAGATGGCTATTTCTTGATCAGCGCATGCAAGGGTGGGTTCATACCGGTATTAGTTAATAAGCAGTTGGGTTAAGTTGCAATGCTTAAAGCACTAACTGAGCAAGGGTTGAATAAAATGAAAAATTTATCTTTTATTCTATATTCTGGTAAGATTGTAATATTATTACTGTATTATCCAGATGGAAAGCCGATGTTGCGACAAGGACATACAGGAGATTGGGTTGGTACATTCCAGGGACATCATGGTGCAATATGGGCTGCTACTTTGAATAAAGATGCAACAAAAGCAGCAACTGGAGCAGCTGATTTCACTGCGTATGATGCTAACTGATTATTTTTTTTATATATTTGAAATCTTTGACAAGAACATACTCCCATATAAAGATACAGAAGCATGTATTCCATATAGACTTATTTTTAAAAGGTGTTAAATATAGTCTTATAAAACGATGTAGATGAAAAAGATCATCATATGAATTCAGATATGTATGTCAGTATGTGATATTTTAGAACACATAAGCATCCACCACCAAAGTTTGTTCAAAGCACAATCTTGCAGTTTTATTCTAAGATGAGGCAAATGCAGCAATGCAGAGTTAAATTAGGTCTAGTTGACTTAAGTAGAACTTAAGCTAAACATAACTCAATAATCAATTTTGTGTAGGAACATCTGCAATGATACTTTTTACAACAAGATCACATTATTCTGATGGGTCATAACTCAATGATTCTAATCCGTAGCGAACTAAATTCGGGCAATTGATGATCTATCAGAAATGATTCAAATTTAAATTTTGAATTCATTGACTGGCTGTTCGTTTCTGATTAATTAGACAAACATTGTTTTCTATTATCTGTTAATCATTTGTTTTTTTATACAGTAAACTCTGGAATGCTGTTACTGGTGATGTTGACGCATCATTTCCACATAAACATATTGTCAAAGCTGTATCATTTTCTCCAGATGGATCAAAGTTATTAACAGGAGGTCAAGAAAAAACACTTCGTTGCTTCAATATTGAGAAAACAGATGCAGGTTGTAAATATTGGTTGAATACCTTCATTTAAAATATCTAGTAATTCATTTAAAATAAATAGTGATATGCCCTCACGAAAGAATGACAGTTTTCAACAGTATGTCAGATGAAATTACTTACGTTCGAAAGTAAAATAATACTCAAAACCTCTAGAAATTAATATAAATTAGTAGTTTCTATATTTGTTATTCAGTGAATTTAAAACAGGTATGGAGTAGCCTACTATTTTGTTGTAGAAATACTAGTTTATATGATTTCTTAAATATTATTAATCAAGAAAAGGAATTGTACTTTCAGGTCCTTATAGGGATGAAAAATATCTGAGGAATATTTCATGTATGTTGATAGCATATTTTAATTTTTAAGTCTTATTTAATCCAAACTTTAAAAGTGAAAAAAAAACTACCCATTCAACATTTGAAAATGCTTGTTTTAAATTGTTAGATCCAGAGGAAATAGGGAAACATGAGGGAAGTATAAAGAAAACGTTATGGATTGATGAAAAGATTGTTTTAAGTGCGTCAGAGGATAAAACAATAAGGTTTGTTGTATTTTAGCACCATTAAATGGGTTATTTGATGCAATATAGGTAGAATTTAGTTTCTGTTGAGGGGATCATTTTTTTTGTATTTTACTTTTGAGCTATTGGAGTATCATCCAATGTAGGGGTGTGCAATATTTTTGTCGATGGGCCATATAACCAACTTCACACATCTAGATGGGCCTCACGAAAAAAAGAATTCATGCATGCAACGAAATAAAAAATTCTTCTAATGCAAAATTTTTTTTCAACATTTTAGTGGGACACTTGAAATATGTTTGTAAACATCAGCTTTGACAAAAGTGAGGTCTTATACTTTATGGGGAAAAATCTGAGTGTTGACAAGGGCCACACTGAATGGCTTGATGGGCCAGGTGTGACCTGCGAGCCGCGTGCATGTATATTTGGTTTAGTTTGAATGAACAGTGTTTGAGTGAACAAAGTTTTTTTTAAACTCAAACCATTTTAATTTACTTTGGATTTGTTTGTGTGAATTTTAATTCTATATTTCACTTATATTCTTATAATTGCAACAAAGTGAATAAAACTCTAATATTTTGCAGGAAGTGGGATACATCAACCAATAGTGAAGTTCAACAAGTTAAACTAGATTCAACAGTAACAGATATTGAACTGTCGCAAGATAAAACAACACTTCTTGTCACCAATAATAAAACCATATCTATATTCGATGTCGAAAGGTTTGTTCCCTTCTACATTCTTGTTATCTTTTGTAATATACTATTTTTATATATATGTTTTGCCAAATTGGTGGCCCCGGTAGCATCAATATTTTGTGGACGATTTCAGTACCAGATATAACCAATTGTAAAACGCTATAATGGGAATTTAATAAAGTTCTGTACAACAGAACTTGTTGTCATTATAGCTTGTAATGTTTGAATTAATCATTAGGTAATATTGCAATATTTCTCTTATTTTTTTGTATTGAATCGAGTATTATCACATCCTTATTTGATTGTTAACATGTCAAGTATTATTTTGTTTGTTGTATTGTCACGTTGTTATTAAGATCACAGTTCAGTTGGTTGGCTCCATAATATCATTAATAGTTTCAAAAGTTTCTTTTCCAGGTGCTATTCAATTACTGGTACTCCTGAAGTATGCACACCAAGATATCGCACAACCTGAATCCTAACCTGATACACAACCTGAGTTCAGGTTGTGCGCCATCTTGGTGCGAATACTTCAGGAGGTCCCAAATAATAGTGGTAAATTTAGTTCATATATTGCTGGGTCAAGTTTGACTCAGTATTATGAATATTTTTTATCTTACACCGAATTTTTGCCATGATTTCGATAATGTGATTGTTTCAACACATTTTCCTTTTTCACCAATTTTATTCCAAAAAATCGTTGAACATTAGTAATGATAGCAGTTTAGGCCCTTTCAACAATTATGTAATCATCATGATCATTATAATGTACCATCTGGACAAGCAATTACTCACCTAACTAATTTACTATATTTCATCATATTCCATATGGATACATAATTTCCTGAAATTCATAGGTAAAATATTAAATTCAGTATTAATTATGGGGGAACCTCATTGTTGGCAATGTTGAGTGCGTTTCAGTGCATTTTTCAGTCCACCTGCAAGAGTTGCACATAGATGTGAAGCAGAATCAATTTGTTGCAATAAATGTCGAATTTTCAATAAAGGCAATGATTTCTGTTGTTTGGCTTTTTAAACAGTAAAACTCTGGAAGTCTTTATAGATTTTTTACCATATCTACACATTTCTTGAGTTACTTTTCATTATAAATAGTAAAATTACGCACTTTGCCAACAACACAACCGATTCTGATGAATGTTATGTCACATACAAATTGATGTAACTACTGAAATCAATGCAATATCAACTGGAAATGAATTTGCATGAATAGGCAATCTGGGCATCTGGCTATGTATTAGGTATACACTTGCTAATTATTTCAGTGCAAATATCTTGATGCAGCAATTCTTTTTGTAAGCTTCATCAAATACTCAAGTGGGGAAATAGTATTCTATTTCATTTATATATTTCTAGAGTAAATATCTCTAGTATTTGGAAAACCCAAAATTATATAAATTGTAGTCTAAATGCATATTTTTAACCTTTCATGTTTAGTTTTCAGTTTCAAAGCAATAATGACAATTTCTTTTTGATAATTCCACCTTGAGGATGAGAATTGTTTTGTAAATACCAATACATTTCTTTCCATTGTGCTATTCTAATTTCATTTAGTTATTTTATGTAACAGAATCAAAGGCTTTTAGATCCTTAAATTACTACAGTATAAAATGCCTAAATAGCGCAGGATTTCCATCAGGCAAATTCATATTGATGATAAATAAAGCACCAACAGGTGTTTGCAAAATGATTTAATTTGCTGACGTTACGAATTTAAATCGTTTTGCTAACACTGGTTGTGCCTTATTTGTCATCGATATAAAATGCCTATTTTGCCATTTTGTTGCAAAAAATCTTGTTTATGCATGTCATTAAATTTTATTCAGGTTAGACAAGCAGAGAGATTTCACTCTTCCAACTCAAGTATATTCAGCAAGTTTGCATCCACACAAAAAATATATTGTTGCAGGAGGAGATGATTTCAAACTGTATAAATATGATTTTAATACTTTGAAGGAACAAGGTAATTAAAATATTTAAAAATAAATGCATTGAGTGATATACAATTAATTTAGGTACTCCCGTAGTATGTGAACCAAGATAGCGGACATCGGAATGTAGTATGTGTACCAGGTTAGGGTTAGGCCATAATTTCAGGCAGAAATACTACGGGAGTCTCTTGTCTAGTCCCTAAACTCCTGATAGAACTAAAATAAAGAAAATTGGAGTAAAATTATGGCATAACCCTAATCTGGTACACTATGTTCAAGTGTCCGCCATCTTGGTGCACATACTACAGGAGCACCTTAGTTTATGATAAATTTTAATGTTACTACACTATACTTCTTTTGATGGAAGAATATTATTTTGAATTGCAGATTCATACAAAGGGCATTTTGGACCTGTTCATGCTGTAAGGTTTTCTCCTGATGGTGAATTATATGCAAGTGGTAGTGAGGATGGCACAGTACGATTGTGGCAAACTAATGTCGGCACAAATTATGGATTGTGGAGATGTGTACAACCAGGTGAGCCATGCATTTTTTCTCGGCTATTTTAAATAATTTTCATGGTATATATGTATGAATTATGCGCACATAGTTAGTGAAAATCTTTGTTCTTGGATTGCACACGACACTGTCAAACATGCTGTCATTGTCTGTTTGTCTGCAGTAGTTTTAGTTTTGTCTATACATCGAATTATCAATGGTAACTTATTATACTTTACCGGTACTTTTTATAATAAAAATAAAGCAGTGGTATTTCTCTCGAATAGAATATAGATTTATTTTCTCATTGCATTGCATCTCGAAAAATTCCATTTCAATATTTTCGGCCTCATTGAACCCTTTGCAGTTTGAAATAAAATAAATGTACCAAACAATCAAACACTTTTTGTTACAGTCCTCACAAAAAATGTGATTTATATCAAAATTACTACATTTCAGGTCATTTTGTGTAAACCTTTAAACACCTGGGTGAAATTTTATCTTTTTCCATGAAATGAATGCAGTCCAAAAAAATTCAAGTGGCTTTTGATATAATAAATACAAAACAATTACTTTTACTGCAATTTTTTAAAATATTGATGAAATTCGAAATTTGCTTCTAATGGCCCATATAAATAATAAAATAAATAATATCAATAAAATAGAAATGTAACATGTAGCTCCTTCTCGACTAATACATTTACATTTGAGTAATTCAATTTATACTCCATGAGTTATATTTTACAGTAGTTCTGATCTGGACACCTCGTATGTTTTAGTTTTTTATCGGACTCTAGTGTAGGTGTTAGTTAAGTGTCTTTGTTTTCAGGAGAAGATGAAGCTGTCCCAGTCACCAACTCATCTTCTGAAATAAAATACATGCCTTGAAAGAGATGTTCAAGGTTTCAGGTGTTCTATATTATCAAGATATGATAGAAGATACCTTGGAGTATAGGGTTTATGTTGGCTCTGAATCGACCGGTTGATGATATATTTTATTTTCTCTTTTGATCATGAAAAGAAATAGGAAATTTATGACTTATTTTTTTTTTTTTTTCTAAGTTAGCCTGTGATTATAAATTTATAATCGCTGATAACATTACTCTATCTTCATGCTTCTTGTGTGCGTAATACACTGCCCTTTAGTGATAAATTTGTAAAGTTTATACGAGGGAAGTGTGGGTCAAAAATTTCACTTATTTAAAAGCATTGTGCCCCGATATCTTATTCATTAAAACTGTAACAAAACAAGTGCCAACAGTTTTCTGGGAGGATGACCCTACCAGATCTGTCTATCCAGGGGTGGTCAACCTTTTTCGGCTCGCGTGCCAAAATCGGCTAAACTTAACTACAGAATTCTTCTGCGTGCCGACCAAAATTAAAAACAATGCTTCGCTACTTTAAAAGCAAAAATATACAATAATAAACCTTTTAAACATGTACAGACGGATTCAATATTCGGAAAAATATCAGATCGACAAATAGATTTCATTCTTTTCCTATTCTATATTCGTGAGACTTCTGCTGCTGCATTTTACGTTGGGTTTATATTTTATAACTTACAAAGAAATACACGATCTACTGGCTTCATCTTTCGGGCTACTCCCATTACGAGACTTAATAAAATCCGCAACTGAGAACATGGATTCACAAGCATATGTAGATGAAAACATTGAGAGTAATGGAGTACTTCTCTCTTGTATTCCCTGCCCTAATCGCTTATATTCCTTTCGAAATCAATTTATAAGTTAGCAAGTAACTCAAACCAACAGGAGCTGTAGGACTTCATAAATCAAGCGAAAATGAAGAAAAAGGGTGGCACAGACGGAACTATATTAGTAACGTGTATAGTCAAATGAATGCTGCGCCCTTCTCGACAAAATTTCTCGAAAGCTCACTAATTTGTTACGTCATAATGTATTTGTAGCCATATGCCATGAAAGGAAAAAAAGAGTTTAAATAAATAACGAATTGTTAAAAAACGAATATGAATAAATGAACACCTAGTTTTATCAGATAATTCGGAGTCAATTTTCTATCTGAAGTATAATGAACGCGTTTCCGAGGCCTTGCCGAATAAATGGGCTCGCGTGCCAGGGGTTGCCCACCCCAGGTCTATCCGATTAAAAAGTTGTGAACAGTGCTTGGAGTTTAGGCTTCCTTTTTCGTCCAAAGTTCATGCATTTGAAACGAATGGGTGATTGACTATTTTCCACGACCAACATGAACAGGTAACCGAACAACCGGCATTTTCATCCCCAGATAATATGAAAAAAAAAATGATATACATATACCTGTATGGAGCAACCGACAAGGATGCTATTACAACTTTTATGACATCACAATACAATTGATAATCCCAGATTGTCTTGTTTACAGTGATTTCCTTTCGGAGGTGACTGGGCCGAAAGGGAGAGGAGATGCGAGAACTGTTATGTTAATATGTGAATTTAATGTGGTTGAGAGCCTAGCGAAAACTATAGTTCTGTAGGGATGTAATTCCCTTCCAAACTCTTGTAAAACCATGAAAAGAAAAGACTTGCCGTTGCATTATAAACATTTTGGTACTCCTGAAGTATGCGCACTAAAATGTCGCATAACCTGAGCCCTAACCTGGTACACAACCTGAGTTCAGGCTGTGCGCCATCTTGGTGCGCAAACTTCAGGAGGTCCAACATTTTTTGGTAACTCGTATACATGCGAATCCTTGTTTACACAGACGAATTTTATAAAATCGAGTAATACTACTCCCCTCAGTCCTGCAGCAGCAAGCTCAAAACTACACAATGCCAACTCAAGTATATGGCTACTTGTCTCTGTAGGCAAGGAATAATATATAAAACAGCTGAAATCATCTCCCCGGGATAAATATGTAAATCCTATCATAGGTACATGGGTCATCGCAGCGATTGAGATTCCATATCAGGGTATGGGAATTACTTGAGGTGCACAGACGTACATGGCCGAGAAAGCCTCCACTGACCACCGGGTACATGAAACAACCCACGGTGATAAAAACTTCCTAGCAGTCCTCTAACATTAATTTATCTCGTCTCGTGTTGCTGTTGTAGTCTATTCGCCTTCATCAGTGGCGTAGCAAGACTCTCGTGCCCCCCCCCCCCCCCCCGCAAAAATATTTCGTGGAAATGACACTAAAAACTCTCGGACATAAGCTAAAACAACGCTTTTTTTATTTCGTCAAAGAGCATAACATGTCGCCATTAAATGGCAATGGTAACCTAAAATTGGCCGTTTATCTTGGTTACTTTAATTTTCATCATACGGGCTTCCTCTTCTGCGTTTCTGTGCCCCACTGAGAGGTTTTGCTTTCGACATCATTATGACAGCCTTCGTAATTTTGCCGGTGCGATCAAACCACGAGACGCGGAAAATCGACGACTCCCTGACATTGTTACGTAACAAAACAATTTGAGCAGAACTAACATCAACGTTTTAGATGTGCATTACTGGTTTTGCAATGCAGCTTTTGGTTTTGCAGCTTAAATTTCTAAATTCTAACCGCTTGGGCCCCTTTGTGCTGTGGGCATTCCCGCGACCGCGGGGGTTGCGGGGGTGGATGCTACGCCACTGGCCTTCATACTCAATGGGATCTATCATGCAATGGTTGATACCAATATATATTTTCTATCTTCAGCCCCACTTTTTAAAAATAATGACTATTACAGCAGACCACTAATAGCCACATAACGCGCTTTTTGCAATTTACTATTGGTCTTGTACCAGAAACGCTCTTCTATTGCAGACTACCAAATGCTTTGCAATATCGGGTATACGGTATATACACTTCAGAACGATAAAATGTGAGCATAGTTTTATTTAATCGCATTCTGTGCCATACTTTTTCGTTTCTGGCGAGACCACCACAACAATCGATTTCAAAATATCGTCACGCTAATGACCGAATTGCATAAGTCATTTTTAGCAGTTTTGAGAAAAAAATTAAAAAACTTCCTAATGATATTAATTTGCCATGGTTTAATTTTTTGATTGTGTGACTGTGACTTAGGCAGAAATGTGTCTATGACTTGGGGACATACGCAATTTTGCAACTTTACTATATGCACCAGTCCTGATAACTAAGCATTCCAAAAACGAATGTAATTCTTATTCTCATTATCTACAATGTCTGGTCCCCAAAATAGCTAATCAGTTTCAATTACATTATTTTTTATGTTTAAAAATATATATTAAATGAATATAACACGTTTTGCACACCCACCGAAATAAGACTAAGATTGAATATAAAGAATAAAACAGCGATGCACCCAATATAAAAGCCGACCAAGGTGAATTGGACTCGGACAGTGAATATAGAGGACTTGCACGGGTCACGTGACATTGTTACTGGACGGCAATAAAACAAAAACGTCCATTTGGCTCCTGTCAGTTGCAAGTCGGATTATACGTTTGCGTTTTGTTTGGCTGTTGAAAATGGTTATTTCGTTGTTCTGTTGGCTGTACGTATAGTATAGACAACGAAATGGATCTTCAGTAATATTCCACTGATTTCAAAAGATCCTGAACGTCGCGCAATGTGGATATCATCTATTGCCTATTGGCAGAACTGCTTGGTGTCAAGTCCAGAAGCCATCTTACTTGTGTTTCACTGTTTGCGGACAGCACTTCGTTGATGGTGAGTGATAATGTGGTGATAGTGCGCCGTTATCAAATTCTTTAAATATTCACAAGCTCCCTCATTTCAATGGAAAGCAGATGACAAACTACTGTTATCAGTAGGCCTAGGCGTGGGCCTACTTGCAGTTGCAGACTTGACTTGTGTAAGACGGTAAGGAATTAATAATCAATAATCAACTACTGTTATTAGTAGGCCTAGGCCTAGTTGCAGACTTGACTTGTGTAAGACAGTAAGGAATTAATCTAATAATCAACTACTGTTATTAGTAGGCCTAGGCGTGGGCCTACTTCCAGTTGCAGACTTGACTTGTGTAAGACAGTAAGGAATTAATAATCAATTGCTGTAAGGTATTGTTTCCCTGATTAGCAGGTAATCTATTACTAAGTGTGAAAGGTTGAATAGATAACTAAAGTTTAACACCAGTGGTCATGCAAAAAATAACCAGAATTCAATTGAATTCGCCATCTAGGAATCAGTAATCAGTAGTTTATTTCTCACCATACTTAAAATAGGCACAAACATACAAATTGCAATAAATTAAATTATAAATTGGCCATATTTCAGGGTGAAGGAGACGCGAGAAACCAATACTGGTTATCGAGCAGCGGCACCTATAAAATAAGTCTAACACTATAATATAAAAAACAAAAAAACGAACTAAGTTTAAATAAATTGAGGAAAAAAATACATAAAATATCTCGAGACGATCTGCTGTAACCAGCAATCGCTCGCTTCAACCAAAGTGACTATAATAGTCACTTAGGCTTCAACAAAAGAAAAGACAACTCCGAACACCACTGATTCGGTAGCCATGGAGATGGCGTTAGTGGATTGTATCACAACAATACTATTGCGGTCTTACTACTTACTGAATATAGCGCGAAACACCGCAAAGAGCGCAAAACAGCGCGAAACAGCGCAAAACAGCGCAAAACAGAGGGAAACAGCGCAAAACAGTGGGGAAACAGCGCAAAACAGAGGGAAACAGCGCGAAACAGAGGAAAACAGCGCAAAACAGAGGAAAACGGCGCAAATCAAAGAAAAACGGCGCAAAACAGAGGGGAAAAGATACTTGATAGTTAGGCCTACTGTATTTATTTTCGGAAACATGGACTTGATGATGGAGGAAACCGTAACCAACCGATCAGGGTTAGGTGAACCACCCTACGGCGGCGAGGAGTCCAGCAATCCTTTCGCACTATACCCGCATGGGATTCGAACCTGTGAACCCACGCCAATGACATTAAACAACGTTGTTTAATGCCATTTCCCACACAGAGTAATGCGGTGCGGAGGCGAGTGTATTCCTGACACTTAGAACGATGAGCCACACCGTCTTATTACTTATCGATCTCAAGATCGGTATGTTGATAGGTATTTGTCTGTCTGTCTGTTAGATGAACGCGATACCTCACGAAGGCGAGGTTAAATCTGCTACAAATTTTGCATGTGCATTTTCATCATATCTCGGACCAGAAGCCTATTGATTTTGGATGAATTATGTCGTATAATTAGCGAGTTATTAATTAATTAGTGATGGGACACGCGGTGTCACTATGGAGTCATAAATTGAAACCGCAGTTTCATTTCGATCGATAAGTCTTCCGTCTCCGACCGATATTCTCGTTATTTGTTTACAATGTTTTATGAATGACGAAATGAAATATCTGAATCTGAAAACGGTAAATAATCAAGGACTTACTTCTTGTTCTTATAATAAAAAAGTAATGTATATCGCGCCGTCTACAAATATATGAACCTACATTGTACGAGTAATTCGTGTCTGTTTATCAGAAAGGCATATAAATATTTAAATGTCAAAAAATGCTATTTTTACGACTGTAAATAAAAGCATTGAATGTCAAATATTTTGCAATATACGCCTGAATACAATGGCTCGCTCTTTTTACGAATGCACGATACAAAACAACCAATTTCGCTTTTTTTGATCACCCTCAAATAGGTAAAGCACAATGCTACAAGAAAATTAGTAGTATATAAATCACATTTCTACGACAGTCAATTTCCGATTATTTTGTTTTATGTGTTATAATATAATGTTATTCTTCATCGCATGACTGTGCAAAATATGCAAAACGCTGGAGAATGTCCTCATTTATGCCCGGTTTCAACAATTTTGCGCGGTTTTTAGAACATACTGATTAAAGTTTATATTCGGGAATATTTTTAATAGTTCCACACGATAAACATCATATTACGATCCACGCCGATATCAAGATTATAAATGAAACTGTATATTGTATTTGCAGCGCCTTAGGATGATGAGGCATTTTATTTTTATAACGCGGCGCATTTGATAAGAACCTTTAAGTGAAATTATTAATCACTCTCGAAAGTCTCGACTATATGCATCCAGGAAACACAACATTTTTTTTTTATTATTTATTAACGTCAGTGAAATTTTAACAGTACAGTAGGAAACGATCACGAGTTTACATCAGCAATCTTCAACAACCTAAAATAACGAAATATGTGCACACTACTAAGCAAAATCGAAGATATTTTTGTGAAGAGAAACTTCAACAAAATATACTAAATAGTATGTCGTCACAATACATAATAAATTTGACAATGAAATTGTGAATAAGTAAATCATTCAGCAAACGAAACTTTAAAACGCGAATAGTTTATAACTTGTTAATTTTTTTTCCAAATTTCGATAATTTACTTCTAACTTTTTCTGATCGAGGTCTACGCTTCTGGCCCGGTTTCCTCGCAATTCCTCGGACAGTGGCTGTTCTAAATTTAGTTATACTGGATTTTGTTGTTTTTATAGGGGTAAAATTTTCTTGCGTGCGAATTCTTTCTTTCATAAACTTCTCAAACGCTTTGTCTTTTTCCTCAACGTTCATCGAGCACCACACTGCATGAGTTCTGAGATGCTTTTGGTAAGATCCTGTTAACGAATAATTACCTTTCCCATGAATTGCCAACTTCAAGTCTGCGTATTGAAGGTTGACAGCATTTTGAAAGTGTCTTATCAAATCTGGCAATTTATGTGGTTTCCACTGCAAATCTAGCTTTATAATATTGTTGATACTTTCACAATTATTGTTAGTCCACAGTTTTTTAAATGTTTCATTCTAAGCGGCTTGATTACAAACTCTTTAAGTGCTGGCAAAAAATTCTCTGATAAATATTTCTGCAGGTCTTCATGATCAGCAATCTTATTGTTTATAATCTCCACTTTATTGTTGAATGTTTTTAATGAATCAGCAAAGACGACGCCGTTTTCGGAAAAAAACAAGTCGTACACTTCGGATCTCTGTTTTGAGGACAGAATTGTTTTTTCTCGAAGATGGTGCCGTAGGTTTTCCTTTAGATGTTTTGTACATAGAAATCTATTAGCATTGGGAAAGCAGTGATCTATTGCTTTCGTTAGAGCTTTTTCATTGTCGCTTCCAATATTTATACGAATTTCAGAAGTAAACTGCGAGTTAGACAATCTAGCACTCAAATGCGAAAAGAATCGGCAGTAAGTTTCAAAGCTTGCATCCCAATGTAGATAAACAGGTCCCAAAAAAATTGGGCTATCGTCCGTGTCATTTTTTATTACCTTGTAGTGTTTAAATACAATAGTAGTGGCATAGCATGCTGCTATGTTGAATGTTCGATCTACTCCTATAATTGTTTGGTCAGATGACTGAATGGATATAGATTGCAAATCCGCCAATTGATATCCTGTATACAATATTATACTTGGCGGTTTTTCAGGGGTCAGTATAATTTCTTTCACATAAGGATTTGTGTTTATCATGTTTAGTACATCTAGAACTTCATCGGCAATATTATATTTTGTACTTTTAGAGTTCTCTCCTTTGTTGAGTTTCATTTTTCTGTTGCGAACTTGTTTGAAGTCGCGTGGCGACGATGTCGAATCATTTAACACCATTTCTCGGTAAATTTTTCTGGTTGGTTCGTTGCAACGTAACCTTTCGTCGATTGTTTCTGTGACATGTTTCGGCGTGCGAACATACTCTCTACCAGGAATATTCGCGTAGTGAGACGGTGTTGATGGTTGTGATCCCATATACTCTACCACTGTTTTTGACGCACCAACTTTCGTACCTTGAATGGTGTCAAACCAAGATACTCGTCTTTTGAATTCTGGACATCTTCTCAAGCATGAATAATATCTGTAAAGAACCACTAAATCATCGTCAGCCAGGTGTATGGTCTCCTGCATTTTTTCACCATTTTTCACACGCTGTTTAAAGTACTTCCCCATTTTTTGCCTGATATGACAAAATTTTCCGTTTTTTATGTAATATATAGATCTGATTGAGCCTGACTTTTTGCTATCCCAGACTCCGCAGTCATCAACAACAAAATTCCTCGTGTTGGATATTCCTCTCGAATTGTTTACAAAGAAAGCGTAATTGCTCTTACCACCCAGAGGTATTCTCCCGGAAAACACTTTGCTCTGGTCTGTAACTCGAAAATACAATTGCTCGGGAGTAAAGAATCGGCCCATTACCCGTTCTCCCGTAGCAATCTTCAAATTATCTTCGATAGATTTAACATGTACAACATTTGGTTTTCCATTTTTTCGCTTTATTTTTCGTGGATGAAGATCAGTGTCATCCTGGGATTCTGAAGTAGTTTCTTCGCTCATTTCAATTTCATTCTGCATGAAATCGTGTTTTCGTTTTCTCTCTTTATTGTTAAAATCTATGTCGCCTTGAAAATCTAAAGATTTTTTTTTGACTACCTCAGTTGTATTTCGTCCCATATTTAAACTGTTCTCTTCTGGATAGTGGAATGTATTTTCATTTCGGTCCGAAAAATGGCTCTGTAAATTATCTTCAAAAAGTTTTTTTGTCGCTCGGTTTTCACATTTGTCGGGAGGTCTAAATGATTTGATAATTTCGTCTGTAGTTTCAATTCCATGCGTTGACATGCACACCACATCTATAAAACTGTCAGTGTCATTGGAGGGTCTAATCATTGACACTTCTTTAGTGCTGAGAATTTCACAATGGTTTGCAATTTCAAGTTTTTGAGGAGTTGAGTGAAACAACCTATTACGGTCTTCGACCAAGGGAACAAAATGATCGGGTATCCAATCGCCGATTGGACTCTCACATACCCGAGTCCACAGTAACCATATGTAATCATCGGAATTTGAAACTAGTGGTTTTATAGATTTGGTCAAAAGAACTGAATACAAATCTCTTGATCCATTTACGGGAGGATATATCATCTCAATCCTTCTACAAACAACATTCGCTAAAGCCATTACAGTCCAGGCCGACGAATAACACCCCACAGTTGCACAATCTTTGCATGCTTTGTCATAGTCAGGAGACACAAGATTAAATACGTCAGAGAGTGGATGAGTGGTATAAAACTTTTTGTTTTTTACCATCTCCACACATGTTCTAAGTCTCAGTTCAATGGCTCGGGCTTCCGTGCCCGTCAAAACAATTGATACTGCGTTAAATAAGCAGCTCCCATCTCCTGTAGTCACCAATGGCCGTTTGTTTTTTTCTATACCATTTTCATCCATAATTTTTTTCGAATACCAATGGGTGGTTTGACAGTAAGTGGATGGTTTGTTTTCAATGTTAAAATTTTGCCTTAAAAAGTGCTCCTCTCGAATAGTACATTCCACAAAATGCTTATAAGATCTTTTTGCACTCTGAAATTAAATTAATCTAGTTTTTAATATATTTCTTAAAGATAAAAACTTACAATGATAATAAAACATAATATAATGCATTATCAACATACTTGGGCAAGCCTCATTACTGCTGTTCCATAGTCATAAATCTCTCCTCCACTCTCGCTTCGACATTGTTTACAAATATATGGAGCATTTTCCAATTGTTCTAATTTGGCAGCAGATTTTTCTGATATACTCTCACATTTTGTGTGATACCAGCGGACGCAAATTTCACAAAGAATTGAAAAATCACTTTCAGAAGACAAGCCGCAAACACCACATGGCCACTTCGTAACTTTGTTTTTATATTTTGGCATTTCCGATATTTATGGTAATGGAATCTGTTCAAATTGAAATATATTGTTAGTTAGCCTACACCAGAAGGTTTGCCATAATTTTATCTCTAAAAAACAAGCGCCAAGTGAGGTGAACCATATAAATATCTGTCTAAATATGTATCTCTTGTGCCATGGGCTATCTATCGGTATTTTTTCCCCCAGCGAAATAATGTGTACTGTGACAAAAACGCATGGGGACGTAAAGGATAATTAAAACAGTGAGGTGAACCATATTTTATTAGTGACTCCGGATTCAAGCATCAAAAAAAATTGTTTTATCGCCCGCTACGGATAAAATTCAACGCTGTTTTAGATATGTGGATGGCAAAAAGTTCGCGTGCAGTTACAAACGGAAAAGAGTTGCAGTTACCTTTGATACGTTATCGGTTTCAAACGTTCTTCCTGAAAAACGCCACCGATAATTACCAATACCATCAAAAATGTTTATCCACAATGAAGCTATATATCATTTGTCTGATTCTACATGTGAACTTCTGTCACTGTTTCCACCAAATACTCAATCATATTTTTTCAATTTAATGGGTGGAAATATGTACTATTAACGTTAGGTTATACCATGGGTCTTTACCGGTACCGTAACAGCATCTTCTGAAAAATTATGCGAACTTGAATCAACCAGTGCATAATTTGGTAATTGCAATATAAAAACCCTATAAACCTTACTTATCCTGATTAATTTAATAGTCTTACTCAACGACTAACACCTTACTGCACACCAACACAAATATATCAATGTAACGTTTTGTCTGACCAAAGTCAAACTTCATCAGACATACATATTTCAACTGAAGCAATTGCTATTCTTGCTTTAACATTGTACTCTGAGCACAATTTACTTCACATGCTACTTCGCAATACATACATGGACCTTGTAGGCTACTGAACTACTCCGACGAGATCAAGATTAGGGTTGGGATTTCGGGACCAGTTTTCAAAATCCCGGTATCGGGATATCGTGGGATTGAGCCGTATAATCCCGGGATTTTTTCGGGATTAGTGAAAGATTGAAACATCTTGCATGGCAATAAAATTACGCATTTCTTTCATGTAATATCGACGTAGAAATATTAGAGCATCTAGGCCCTAGGGCATTGGTTCCCAACCTTTTTTTTATATCGCGGCACACTGTTTAGCTCTTCAAATATTCGCGGCACACCTATCACAAAACACGAACATTCTCTACCCATCGCAACAAATGGTTAATAGTTACCTACATTAGAACTGTTTTCTTACATCAACGTAAACGAGAGCGTATTCGGAGCACCTCACATAAGTCACATTATTGTAAAAGTTGCACGGCCGCACGGGTAATACGTGGTCTTCACGCGCACCGCCGATCACGCGCTTCGGTTCGGTTTTGCTCGCCCTTCCCTGTTCCAAGGTACGCCCTTATTATTATCACATGTATTCTCACAATTCATTTTTGTTACAATTTAATATGTTTTCTCATTGCCAAAATCATTCAATAGTGTTATTGTCGGCACTTGCGAGAAAATTGAGGCAATCAATCTGTATTTCGCGATTTTCGCACAATGATTAATTATTATCGCTAAAAACACTAAATAGGTTTAAAGTTGTTATAAACAATTTTCACAGCTGGACGTATCTTTTCACGGTAGGAATTTCGTACAAGGCCCGAGCATAATTTGACGGCAAAGATCATGGCATTTACTATGTCGAAACCTTTCAGACCGCAGAAACTACCCGAAAAAGATGACCGTTTTTGTGTTCGAAATATGGAATAATCGTCAATTCCACCGCGCTTTGGTAAAGTAGTGCAATTTATTAAATTTATGAAGGTTTTGCTAAGTTTCATTGCATCAGTGTTCGGGAAAAACAAGTTTCGCGGATTACTAGCGTGATTACAGATCGCAATTGTAGGAAAAATAGTATATTTTCATCGAATCGAATAATTATCGAATATCGGGTTGAATTCGGGATTTTATTCCGATTTTTAACTGTTGCATCGGCTTCGATCTTTCTTGTCGCCGTTTGTGAATCAACTGTACTAATTTTAAGCTAAAAATATTATCATTTCTGACACCGGAAGGCAGATATTTATAAAGACGATAGTTGACTTTCTTGATTTTACTTTTCAAAAGTTTTATTTTGGTATTGAATAGTGAATAAATCCCCCTGCAAAGTCATTGCGTGAATCCTGAATGCTATTTTGAGTTCAAATTATGATTAAATAAGTCAGCAATAATGGCAATTCTACTAGTCAAATAATAATTCCACGATATAATTTGATAACAACTTCGCACAATAATTCCACTTCCACTCAAACTGTAAGCGTGGATGGCTTTTTTTTTACAATAAGTATTAAATAAAATAGTATAATCTGCCGTTTGTGGGAATATGTATATGTGGATAACAAAGCCTTAAAATCCCGGAATTTTTAAGAAATAATCGCGGGATCGGGATTGACGAAAACAGTCTAAATCCCTGGATTTCGGTATCGGGATTTCCCGGGGTCCCAACCCTAATCATGATCCATCGAAAATTGTAAATAGCCTACATGAATGTTGCCAGATGATGGTTGAGATTTCCGTTTACTTTTCGGGAATTCAAATTTTGAAAATTTAGCAAACTTGACACCAAGGGTACCGTGTTTCTCCGAAAATAAAACTGGGTCTTATTTCAATTTTCTTTCGAAAAATAACACTAAGGCTTATTTTCAGGGGATGTCTTATATTTTTATTTATCCAAAACAAAATTTCAAAGTACAGAATTACGAGATTGTCAAATATATTATACAAAATGTGAAACTGTTATTCATAAATAATACGTTTTTTATTCAAAATAACTGCAAAGCATAAATTATCAATCATTTAAAAAACGTGTAGGAGAGATTTCTTGTTATCGTATAGGACAAAAAATAATTCGCGTTATTGACTAGGTCTTATTTTCGGGGAAACACAGTTGATGATTAACATATTATATACAAAAACATAGTGTAAATACCAATATGGAAGTTTTGCGGATATTTATCACAAACGACAATAGCCTAAGAATAACCTTATTAGTTTTGATCATATTATTTTGTATGGAAGTCTTTTGATTGAGTAAAAACCTCCATTTTCATAACCGCAATCTCTTCAGGAATAGTGAATATTGGTAACAGCATTCTATGATTTACTGATTTATTAATATGAAAACTAGAATTCGGTTGGAAACGGAAGACTTATCGATCGAAGGTTAGGGGATCTCCCAAAACAGTGGTCTTATTCCATAGCGACACCGTGTGTCTCATCACTAATCAATTAATAACTCGCTAATTATACGATAGATAATTATCCAAAATCAATAGGCTTCTGCTCCAAGCTATGATGCATGCACATGCAAAGTTTGGAGCAGATTGAACCTCGCTTTCGTGAGATATCGCGTTCATCTAACAGACATACAGACAAATACCTATCAATATACCTACCGATCTTAAGATCGATAAGTAAGACCATCTATTGTGGACCGTATTATATACCGTATTAAAGCCAGTACCGGTAATATGTTTCTGTTACGCGCTGTTTTTTTTTTGGCTGTTCCCCTCTGTTTCGTGCGGTTTCCCTCTGTTTTGCGCTGTTTTCCTCTGTTTCCCTCTGTTTTGCGCTGTTTTCCTCTGTTTCGCGCTGTTTCCCTCTGTTTTGCGCTATTTCCCTCTGTTTTGCGCTGTTTCCCCACTGTTCTGCGCTGTTTTGCGCTGTTTCCCCACTGTTTCGCGCTATTTTGCGCTCTTTCGCGCTGTTTTGCGCTCTTTGCGGTGTTTCGCGCTGTATTCAGTAAGTAGTAAGACCCATACTATTGTGATGCCCATTAGCTAACAATGGGCAATAAATGTCAAATTCTGATGGCGCATGGTTATTGGTTACAGTGGAACCCATGGTTTGCTGAGGGCGACAACAGGATCACCAACGAATAAACCATACCTTTATGCTAGAAAGGAATTGAGGTACCTGTTTGTTAATGGGATCTAGTGATTGGCAGCTGGAGTCAGGGCTTCACATAACGTTACAGGAAATATAAAATCAGGGAAGACATGAAATATCAAAATGTGAAAGATATTCCATAACAGTCATTCAAAACGAATGTAACCTAGTATCAACATTCACAGTGGGAAACTAGATAGACTACAAGACATGAAACAGCAAAACTAAGAAGAGTCAAGTACCGTAGTCTAATAGTTGAGTGAACCAATGAAGCAAAGTTTAAAAGTACATAAAAAATATTATTTATCAGGTAATACTTTTACAATGTTATATAAGAGTATAATGACAATCAGATAAACAATTTAGGCTTTACTGACTGCAAGAGAAAACAAGTCACAATGTTATGCTAATTAACCAAGATCTTGAGCAGATGGGCTTAGAATTTCAATGTGGTTAAATTCGTACAAAGCTTCATGAACCATCTCAAACATAAGAAAAGTAGTTTACTATATTGTGCAGGTTACGAACAAATACAGGTCATGCAATTAGCATGGCACACTTTACATAATTCAAATCACTGGCAAGAATGCAATAAGATGAGGACATGAAAAAATTGAAAAAAAAAAAAAGTATTATTATTACAGGTATAGGCCTAGCGGAGCAAGCGGGAAAGAGTGCTGAGGCCACATCATTTGGATGCAATCACAGCAGACTGGTAAGGTGACAGCAAGAATTTTTTATATTTTGTTTTGAAAGTTTCATAAGAAGAGTCACGTAAGATTTGGGGAATACTATTCCAAATTACAACACCCTTATACTTCAAGGAGTTTTGGGACTTGCTTAGCGAAAATCTGGGAACAAAAAAATTCGATTTTGTCGAAGAGCGTGTGTTATGCTCATGCACATTACTGAGAACAGTGAAATAATCAGCGAAAGCTGCAGGCAATTGGTTGTTGTGGAACTGGTGCATAATCTTAGAAATTTCTAATTTATAGATGTCAGACAATTTTAGCACCCTGGCTTTATGATATAGGGTGTTTATGTTTGAACGAACTGGTGCTCCGGAGAGAATTTTAACAGCCCTATTTTGTAAAATCTCTAATTTACGCAAGCTAGTTTGAGTAGCGGAGCCCCATGCAGCTAAGGCGTATTGGATATGTGATTGAAAAAGAGCAAAGTAAATAGTCCGCAGAGTTGGGCTCGGCACATAATACTTGAGTTTTCCCAGAATCCCTACTGATCTGGAGAGTTTCTTGTACATTTCAGTGATGTGGCTGTTCCATTTGAGTTGATGGTCAATATGAAGCCCAAGATATCTATAAGACTGGACGATTTCTAGTGGAATACCATTAATTTTAATTGAAAGACTTGAATTTCTAGTCCGGCTTTTAGGGCTGAATAACATGACTTTGGATTTTTCCACATTTACAGTGAGTTTATTGCATATCATCCACTCATATACTTTATTAATTCCAGTGTTCACTTTGGCTTGGAGTGTGATCAAATCCTTCGCACTATCGAGAAGGCAGGCATCATCGGCAAACAATTTTGTCAGGAAATTAGAGCTGTTCGATAAATCGTTTATAAAAAGTAAGAAACCAAGA